CAATAGAAACATACTCCGTCTGTATTGTAATACTTTGTATTGTGCTCACACTGACTAATCTGCATCATGTATTAAGTATTGTAGATCTAGTCCATTCATAGTTGGGGTATATTGTTTTTCCTGCAACTATTACGATTACCACATTCTTGAGTGATGGTGTTCAAAGCACATTACTTTTGATGCCACATTTGACCGATTAGTATTCAATACTAATGCAGTTCCTAATCGATTTAGACACTACCGCTTCCCCAGTATTTGTCGTACACACAGCCAGTATAAGCATAGTTATCTTATGGAAACAGGTGTTTAATTCTTTGTCATGTTCAGCGATTTAATCGACCAGAACATCTCCTCGGCACAGCGGAGCGTAATGGGGGACGGTTGAATGGTTTGGCTGAGCTGGACAGATTGGTTGAGCGACCATGAGTCCAGGCTTATGGGCTTATGACATCCAGCTGTAGCGATATGAATTTGTGTAACACTTAAAAGTGAAATTTGTAATCGCGATAGTATTCCAGTTATATGCAAATACGAACTTGCTTTTCATGTTCGTAGTCTCAAACTCGGCAATATATATTTAATGTCCTGGTGTATTGCAGCATGTGTGATTTTTTTTAAATGAATGAAAAAAACCGGCGACACTACGTACATATAAAATCTTTCTGTAAAAGTAACATGTGTTTTATCGCGCTCTTTATTTAACCAGGAGATCAAATAAAGCCACCGAGAAACATGAAGCAACTGCCTCTTTCACGAGGGTAGCCTGGGTCACATCAAGTACAATTGAACACGATATCTTTTTTAAACATTAAAACAAATGTGCAGGCTAACAGATCTGTATTCTGCTCACTGCCCACTGCTGGATATGTAAATATCCCTCGATTCCCCAGTCTGAAGGCTGGCTGCGGCACGGCCTGGACAAGGACATGATGAAGAGAGATGCACGTGGCTTCGTGTCTGTCACTGCCACCGGCCGCCGAGATTAATGGACGGATTGGATGTACGATCACAGAGGAGACGAGCGGCCACAGCCATAATGCGCCAGCACGGCTGATTTGGCGATGTGGGGATAATAATGGCAGCGTAATCCAGCAAAGTACACGTCTGTGTGAGCATTGGGTTCAGGAGAACATTTTACGTATCACCGATGTGGAAGCGGCCTGCTCTCACCAGGTGTAATGTGCAGTGGAAGTTAAGCCTCATTGTACTTACATCCGAGTAATTCACTTGGCGTGTAACACATGGTGTACAGTATTGAGCTGTGTGCTACAACAACATTGCCTGTCATAAAGTCATTGACAAATTGGGCCCGACGCTCAGTTCTTTATTTATTTTCCAGAGAGTTATTTGCTGCTGACACCACATTCTCATTCAGCAAATCAAACTTTTACGTTCAGCATTTAATTGGCATTCAACAAAAATACACAGAAACCTTCGGTCTTCGGGGCTGTACCCCTACCCACAACTTACAATAATGCGGTTGGACGATATTTTTTTTCATCCTGTCACTGCGAGCATCTTGAGCCATAATCGATTACTGGAGGGGAACAACGCATTTGATCAGGCAGGCAATGTTGTGTTTCTAATTCAAATACCATACGCTCAGTCACTTTTGTCACTGCATTGTGCCGCATGCAGCGACAGAGTTGTCTGGGGTGTGTGTAACGTGTGGTGGTGACCAGATTCCCGCTCACGGCCAACACCAGTGACGATCATCTGAACCGGTCCTGGGCCTCCCCTTGGTCGACTCCGCCTCAAATGAGTACCCGGTGCTGTGTTTAAACATCACCACTCGGGAGACAAAGGCGACAGGGGCGTGGTGCTGGCCACCCAATCCCCCTCGTGTGCCCTCCCGGCCTTCATAGGTGCTCGCTCGGAGCACTTGCTCCTACAGTCCGTGCAGAGGCTGCAGGTTGCGGACCCCTGCTCCACGGGATGCCCTTGACCGAGCAGTGGCGTGAGCAAGCAATTGCAGGGCCGCACCTTTACCGTTCACCTGTCCGCCCTAATCTAAGTGATGCCCGTTGCAATTCGTCACAGCAGGCCGTTGTGCGTTCATTTGCGTGCATTGCAATCGATTGAAAGTAACATTTTCCACTGGGGTGTGGAGGGAGGGCTCGTTTCGAAATGCGGTGGACAAAATGAGGAGGAAATGCAAATGGCATCTCAGCATGGCACAGGTGCCCCGCGTGTGTCTGTGTCCATCCCCTTGTGTCTGTGTCCATCCCCGTGTGTCCGTGTGTCTGTCTGTGTGTCTGTGTCTATCCCGTGGACCCCCCTAATGGAGCATCTTCGTCGGTTGGAAACATTTAGGCTGGCCTGCCTACGATCCATCCTGAGTTTAACCAGGCTGGACTGTGTGAGGAGCTCACAAATCCTTGAAAGATCTGGGCAAAGTCCCATCGGTGAGCTCCTCCGGCAGGCAAGGCTGCGTTGGCTGGGTCATGTAGCCCGCATGCCCAGCCAACGCATGCCTAAACAGCTTTTGTTCGGCCGGATCGAGGGGGCTAAACGGGCGCGGCACGGGCTAGAGAAGAGATGGAGTGATGTGGTACAGGAGGACGTGGAGCTGAGTGGACTTGCCGATGACTGGTACTAGCGGTGTCTAGATCGGCCTCTGTGGAGTAGGCTCGTGAAGGACGCTACTTTGGCAGTTGGAGGCAGTCGCCCTCCAACAACAACGGAGGGCGGAGGAGCGACGCTCACATCAACGAGCAGAGCGCCGGGTGGCTAAAGCACAGCAAGTTGGTACAGTAGGGGGCACAGGTGGTGCATCAGCCAGTCATCTTGGTCATCTCGGTCAGTCGACCCGTGGCACCTGCTGGGTCTGCCCCTTGACCTCCTGCCAGCTGGCGTTCGACACTTCACGTGGCCTCAAGGTGCACGTGGCCTCAAGGTGCACTTGGCCTGGCACAAGCGTCGTGGTGACGTCACCGCCACTTAGTGGCGAATGGCGGTTGCTGTTGTTGTTGTGTCTATCCCCGTGTGTCTGTGTCTATCCCCGTGTGTCTGTGTCCGTGTGTGTGTGTCCATCCCCGTGTGTCCGTGTCCGGCCATCCCCGTGTGTTTGTGCTGGAGGGAGCACGCCGGGTTTTGCTTTCCGGCCCCGTGTTTGTGTTGGACGGGTTACGACCCCCCCACTCCCAACTACTGCCCCCTTCTTTTTTTTTACACCGCGGAATTGAAGTCCCGCTTTAAAACTTCCCATCTTTTAACGGCTCAATTTATTTCATTTTTTTTACGCCTCAGTTGAGCGCGCACAGTAGAGAGAAGTATGTGCCATTGTTTGGACCGCTGCCGTTGAATTCCCTTAAAATAGATTGCTAAAATAAAGATGTATATATGTGTTGTGCTGTCCTGCACACGTGGTCTCACGGTACAGTGCTATAAAATTGTATGCGAAGAAGCGTTGTTAACTGTTCGCGTAATGTTTTGTCGCAGTACAGTAGTGCCCGTTGTTTGCTGAGCACTTGCAACTATGCAAACAGGGCTTTCCTGTTTCTCTACCTGTCCCTGCAAGCGCCGTGTAACTGATTCCTCTGCACGCCTCATGGTCTGAGATGTAACAACAGCGATAGTCCCATTGCTGTGACTAGTGCATTGCATGGCGCAACACGTTAACATTTTTGATTGGATGTGAAAGTTTTTTTTTTATGAATGGAACCAGATGGAAGTGCATTATTCAACTGCTGTGTGTGTGTTGTTTGGGCATTAAATAGTTCTAGAATTAACGAGTACAGTGTAGACGAATGCGGACAGCTTGTAAAATATCCACCGTGTCATGCAAGCTTCTGATCATTATTCGATGTGGCCGTTGTGAAAATTGGCTATCTTTTGCTTGATAATGAGAAAGAATATCTCTGTTGTAGACATTGCTTTGTACTTGTAAAGTTGATAAAATGTACATATTTTTAACCGTGCCTTTCGTTCGTGGGTTTTGCAAGAAGAATGCGCGTAGGATTTGTGGACGAACAGCTGCTGTTTGGTTCACCATTCCTTGCACGCTCAAAATTCTAATCTTTGTGCGAAGCCGTTTACGCAACTGAAGTTCAACATTGTATTACATCCTTGCGGGGGAACCGTGAGCGCATGGCAGTTCATGCATTGCAGTCACAAACCACGGTCACCACAGTTTAATTCCTGGCCATGGATAACGCTGAGCAGCGTGGTGAAGTAAGGTCACCTCCCCCACTATGACTGAGATTAACATGAGATGACCTTCACCCAGCAGTGGAGTGATGAATCTGTGATTAATTATGATCATTGTGCATGATTATTTCTGGTGTCAGAAGTAATATTCCCACATATGTTATGATAACTGCCTCAGCCGGTTAAATGCCAATGTTTCAGGTTTATAGTAGCGTTCATCTGCTCGCATGCCATTTTTCAATAGAGACGATTTTGACCTGTACCGCCACCGCTTTTTAGACTGCTGCCTACCTAGGGACTCTGGCAACACACCGGACTGGCAATCCAGAGGTCACCGGATTGAATCAATCTTCTGGCGCAACAATCGAAAAAACGGTGCAAGTTTCCAAAATCCCACCCCCCCCCCCCCCCATGACTCAGCAGTGTAAATGGGTACAGCAGTCGATTGATAGAGACATCGTGTGTGGTAGGGTACAGTCTGGGTACACCCACCTCGTCAAATACGGTACATCTGGCCAGCGCGGAAGAGTGCTCCCTCAAGGTACCCTTTAGATCTCCCTTTAGTGGAGGCCCTATGTGCCATCAGTGGTGTGAAAAATTAATTACAGGGCTGCACTTGACCTTTTACCTTGTCCTTGTAAAAGTAAATTCTCTGAAATTAATTGGCGATCCTTTGGTTGGTTAACGCCGAAGTGTTCACAGCTGCCGCGTCGCATAGTGCCTGTGCAGCGTGTTCATCTCGAGCTTGACTTTCTCCATCGCGGCTTGAGATTGGAAGAGGTGGCGGCGGTCGCAGGTAACGTAATTTTTAAGAGGCGTGCGGGGGGCGCCGTGATGTTGTGTGCCTACAGATGAGCTCGGCCTCCTAGGAGGGGGGTGGCGGTGCTAGAGGAGATGGCAAAGGCGTACGTGGACGCGAGCCAGAGCGGGGCGCAGGCGGGGCCGTCGGGCCCTCGCTACAGCCTGCCCCGCTCTCCAACGCTGGCGGAGCGCCTGCTGAAGGTCTACAACTACTCGGACAGCGTGGATCCTGCCAGCAAGTTTAAGAACGTCCGCTACGGGGACTCGACGGATGTCAAGGTACCGATGGATTTCCACCAGGCTCCTTCACCGAGTCCGCTCATGGCTATGTGCGTCACTAATTGCTTTGGCTGGGTCACAGTCAAAAAGCCCTCATTGCAAACACTGTGGGTGGGAAAGTGCTGCGTAAAAGGAGCCTACTTGGGCATGCTAGCTTCACAGCTCTGGCATTTTTATTACTTTGCATCTAAGGGTTGAAAGCCTCCATGCATTCTATGTCTATCTGCCCGACTTTCTGTGTCTTTCTCTGAAACAGGAGGGCACACGATAATTATAGAATTGGAACAAAACATTTGTTTAAATTTGTGTTTCTGTTAAGGAATTAACCCAAAAGAAAGCCAGCCAAAACTGGGAGATGAAATCTAGAGCAAAAAAGACTACCATATAAGCAAGTACGAAAGCGCGTTATCCCTAACAGCTACTCGTCAGCTTACATCCTGATCATTAAAACACTACGTCCAAAGACAAATGCAAGTTGCAAAGCATTGCAGAATCCATGCAAATGCACGATTTTTCCCAAGTTGTCAAATTATTGACATGTTTATTTTCTACTGGCAGCAGATGAAATAATGTTCATTGAGAAGATTGCATATAATGCCCCATGTTTTTACAGTATGGTTTTATTTGGGCATAGCTTTATATGGATTTTTAAACAGCTTTCTCAATCTAAATTTTACTTGAATCAAAGAATATAATTATTTAAAGGGTACTTTACAATAATTTGGTACTTTATTCAGGGTTAGGCTATTCAGTAATTTTTCATGCATATTGGACACTGAGAATCCCATTTTCATCTTGAATATCAAAATCACATGGTTTTCACTCAGACTTGGGCAATGATCCTTCACCACGACATCACCTGTCCTGGTTTTTCCAGGATTGTCCTCTTTTTGTGGTCACTAATCCGGCAAAATCTATACGTCTTCCCTGGGGAAAACAAAGTCCCTATTTATGCCTCTTCCATAATAAGACACCACTCAAGACAATGCATTAACATATAGTTCTCCACTCGTCCGGTATCGTGAGATATTCCCGTGATACGTCCCATGTTTCCGTATAGCTCGCAGAGGTGGCAGCCGTAGTAGATACTCACGGAGGATAAGATATGCGCGTATGCGATATAAATCTCGCAGCCAGTGTTCCCGATAAACGATCGGCACGAGCGGGAATGTGCTTGTACGTCTTCGGCTTGCCGTGCATGCGGGAGTCATGCAGTTCATCATAGCCGATTGCAGGTGAGATGATTCAATGGCTGATTTTGAAGAATGTGACCCACCAAGCCACCACTTGCAGGCTGTATCACTCGAGTTGGAAATAAGTGCGACGTCACCCTGCCCAAGGCTTTCTTTCATCCTTAAAAAAATATATATAATAAATTGTTAAACCACATGTGAAAATGGAACATTTGTCTACTGTGGTATTAAGGGAAGAATGGCTTATCAATAACACATGGCAGCCGTTGCACGGCTTCAACCGAGAAATAATTCGTTCCGGTTGAACGCAGATGCGTTTAACTTTCTCTGACATGCGTTTGAGCTGTATGACTTAAAATTATAAGCTTTTTTTTGGTTTGCGATTAAGTAGCCAACGATAGAACTGACATCCGCTAGAACTTTTATATTTCACAACAAACACATGCGGGGAGGTGTGGTTTTGAGTCGTGCCCGCTTGCATGATGTGCGTCTCTTTAATTTTGGCTGATGCAAAGACCGCAACATAGGGCGGTCCATGATTATATTCAAATTCGCATCTGCGAGTAATCGTGTAAAAACATTTGTTTTCTTAAGGCTTCTACGTCAGTGTAAATTTATGTGTTTTTTTGGGGGGGACATGCGCTTTGGTCAGTCCCATCATTTCTTTGTTTTAATTTTTTATATATATAAAAAAAACATTTTGTATATTGTTCTACAATATTTTATATCTTTATGACTACATGAACAGCCCTTTGTCCATCCCCTGCGAGAAAAGTGGTGTTTTGACCGTGGTTTACCACACTGATTAAGGGCGGTTTGAGAAGTAGGGCATCGTACATGTGAGCTCACAGAAGTACAGTACAACCGTGGATTTTGGTCCTCTGCTCTCTGCTGCCCGCAAAATTATCCTTCAGCCTTTAACACATTATGCATGGTGGACGGTCGCCTAATCCAAGCACTATCCAGGCTCTGGTGGCATCTTCATAGCCCCTTTTAATCGAATTTCATCTGTATATTCTCAACCACATTCCCAACTCAGTTGAGTTTCTTCTCCCTTAACCTTCTTGAGGATATTAGTAACCCCTGCTAGGATTCTAACTTACAATATTTCAATTGCTTTCATTTATAAACACTTTCCGTGGCCACCTTACGGTGGGAGGAGGCTTGTTGAGAGAGAGGTGACGAGCAAGAATGTTTCTCACGACGTGTTTTTGTTTGCAGAACATTATCCACTCGATGGTGGCGTCGATCAGCGTGCAGTTTGAGGCGCACTACGGCATGCGCCTGGTGCACACCGAGTCGGAGGAGATCCACTGGCTGCACCCCGACCACGCCGTGTCGTACGTGCGCGAGAAGTACGAGGCGGCCCACCCGCCCGAGGAATGGAGGTAACGCTCGCGGCACTGCTGGGCCCCGCTAGGCTGGCCATGCCAGACAGGCCCCTCCAGACCCCGCAAGGCCCCGCTGGGCCCAACTAGGCCCCTTGTTTGTGAGCGAGTGACGTTGTGATTCGAAGACGAAACCAATGGCATTTTGCAAAGTTTACCGGGGTGGATATTTTAACTGTTTAGCACAATAGTAACACTGACCTGACTTCAGAATCTGACTTCAGCCTTCTGATGAATTTGAATGACTGCGTTAGAGTTTTTTTTTATGTTGTCGAGTCAACGTGTGTTTTTATTGTTGCTGCAGATACTTTGCCCGTGTTTGTTGGGGATTGTGCGTGTAGGCTAGCAGTCGGTGACTTTTTAATGTTAAACTAAACTATTTTTTACTTTACCAGGTAAGGCCCACTGAGCTATGAAGCTCTTTTTCAGAAGCGCAATCTGGCCACAAATGATAGCTCAACGAAGTGGCTTATCACGTGGAAATTTATAGCAGCCAAATACTCGAATTATCGCCACACAAACCCTGCCGGTGTGTTGCCCACGTGTTATGGCTGAAAACTTTCCACCACATGTTGGCAACCCTGGCTGGCTGGCTAGCTAATGAGCTCTTTGCAGTTTTAATTTAAGGTTGTTATGCTGGAAGCCGATGAGTTGTTCAACAAACGCACGCAGGTTGTGCATTGCACATCTCCATGTGCGTTTTCCTTCCTCTAAGCCGAAAGCGCCTTCATTGCATGGAGTCGACTGCTCGGAGTTTCATTTCTTCGCGGACTTCTCTCCTGCCCTGCCTCTTGCCTCGTCGCGGCCGCCGTTCTCATATCTCGTTCCACCACATCATTTCGCTCTGCACGGCGGTGAACGACAAGTGTCGGGCAGCGCTTAACGATGCGTGGAACAGCCCCAAAAAACACGTCGGGGAGCCGTGCATTGCAGCACGACTACGACAAACCCGACGCATGAGCACATGGGTCATGTTGCCCACACCTGAAGTGTTTGTTCATCGTGCGGTGTGTAGGTATGAATTAAGAGTGAGATACTACCCCAAGCGTTACGTGGACCTCTTCAGCAAAGACAAGCCCACATTCGCCTACCTTTACCACCAGGTAGGATACGCTGCTCAAGTACTTGGTTTCAATGTGTAAGGTGGGGTCAGCGGTGGTGCTGTGGTCCCTGCGCACCTGCGCGAATTAACCTAGCGACCTGTATGTATGTATGTTGAACGTCTTTCCTACCATACGTAGCCAACCTTGCTAATTGGAGACGCGGGGGAAGGACAACAAACTAAACACAAAAAACAGCTGTAAAGAAAATAGTTTTCAATCTTGATTTAAAAGTGCCTAGCTTCAGTGGCTTCCTAATATCGGAAGGAAGAGCGTTCCAGACGGCCATAGCACATTCGAATGCGTGCGATGCAGTGACCATCTTTGTTCGATGGCTAGCCAAAAGTCGCTGCGAGGACGACCGGAGTTCACGTGGTAGTTTATGTTCCTTGACAAGATTCCCGGCCCTGGCTTCCCCCGCTCCCTTCACAAACCTGCACTGGCCGGTTGCGGTGAACTTTGGTCAAATAATTCCCGTGACTAATACGATGTGGGCAAGCCTTCATCCAACAGGGGATTAACAAAGGGCTTTCATTTATTAATATCGGCACAGAGTTTGTGATTGGGTGCCATCTCGGCTATCGTTTAGCGATGAGTGCTGTGTGATAATCCTGTGTCTTTTTCCATCACAATATACCTGTGCCTACACAGCGCGTGGTAATGTAATCATTAGCGCCGTCATCTCATAATGATCACTTTCACTTCCCAGGTGCGTAGCGACTACATGCAAGACTTTGCGGAACATGCGGATCATGACACAGCAGTGCAGTTGGGCTGCTTAGAGATCCGGTAAATAACTGTTGTACACACACACTTCCAAAATAGATGCGAGACCTTGCCATACTTTACAAGCTGCTGTAAATTCTCCACCGATATGGATAGTGGTATTGAATATCGAAATTATACAATTTGCATTCCGTGCAGTCTTAAAACGAACCACATGACTCATGCACTTAGCAGACCGCTAACAAGATGCTTTTGTGATGCACCATTGGGGAATTCGGCTTTTAACAGGAAAGAGACGCGTATAATTAAGTTTTGTGTCTTTTAATAAAATTGTGTTGGGTGGTACTAAATGGTAGCGTGTGCACATGCTTACTGCTGTTTTAATATTTTTACTTGTTATACATCTGCAGAGAGAACTGAAATATATACTTTGAACACTAAAGCTCCAATTTTGTTTGCTTACTATTATTACAAAGAATGTTGCACGTGGATGTAATCACACAGGAATTGTAATCCAGAGGAAACCAGTTCGCTCGATTCGAACTCCCAGCTTGACGGTTGAAACAACGGGGGAATTTCTTAAATCCCACCACCTCCATCCATCCGGCAATATGAATGAGTGCATCACAGTGAGTCTATTGACAGGTCACGTGTGATGGGGGGTAAAGTGTGGGTACTGCCACCTCCTTTCAAACGTGTCTGGTCAGCGTGGCAGAGGAGGCCACAACCTCCACAGGAGGGGCTCTCTCCAGAACGCCCTCTCCCGTGTAGGCCCTCCTGCCAGCGGTGGCATGAGCCAGCAATTGCAGGACTGCGCCTTTGCTACAATTACGCAATGAAATATTTCAAGTAACACGAAGCGTGACTTGTCCTTTTGCCAACAGGAGATACTACAGGGAGATGCCACAGATGGCACTGGATAAGAAATCAAACTTTGAGTTGCTCGAGTGAGTAATTTTTTTTCCCCATGAATTTTTTTGGCTGATGTATTAAGTGGTACATTTTCACCTACTGATTTACACTTGCCATTTTGAAGGGGGGGGGATGGGTAAAACTGCATGTTGATCGCTCGCCTGGAGTATTACTCTACAAGTTTAAGGGCACGCGAACGACCGAGCTAATTTTATTGCTTAAACAGAGCAACATCACACTTGTAAATTCACATTTTCAGGTTTATTTTGTTTAACCAGCTGAGAATTCAAGAGACCAGGTGATAGTCGAATTGGCGAGAGTGACCTGGGGCATTAGTCTGCCAGTAGGGGGCGATGATTGCTGCGTATAATCACAGTTGAGTAATTTGCTTGTAATTTTTTGCATTTGAACCACTTGAATTTATTTCGCATCGTAAATAGCTAACCGTACTAAACGCAAGTCATCACTTGAGGCTGACTCGACCTAGGGGAGGCCCAGGACCGGTTCAGATAATCATCACTGGCGTTGACCGTGAGCGGGAATCGAACTCTGATCACCGGGTTTGTAGCGCGGTGCGCTAACCACTGCACAACCACTCTCCACACTACGCCAACACAACGGCCTACTGTTGCCGATTGTTGTCGGGGGAATATTGAACGTCCACTGTGAGTGAAGCAGACGGTGTTATTATGGTTATAAATCAGGCTTTCACAGGATTAACCAAGGCGGCTGCTGGATTCGAACCGTGAACTTCTGCAACATGCGGCGACCGCACTACAGCTGGGCCGCATCACCGGCCCAAAGGCATAGTCTGTGGTGTTTTAATTTAGGGAATGGAACTTAAATTTCGATTTAAAGCTTTCGTTACTGCAGCGATTCATCTTCTTGGTTCTTTCGGTAAAGTCACGTAGAAGGAAAATAATAAATAATAAAAATAAACAATAGAATAAAATTCTCACGACGTTTTGGCCATAACGCAAGCAGCCGTCCTCAGGCTGAAGAACAGGGCTGTCGGAAAGACAGCGTCCGAATTCATTCATTCGGACGCTGAAAGAACCAAGAAGAGGAATGGATCTTTTTATTGTAATTGCCCGGTTTTTTTATCCCCATCAAAAGTTTTTTTTTATCCCCATCAAAAGTTTTTTTTTATCCCCATCCAAGTTTTTATAAAATATCATTAGCGTGATGTATAACCAATCTTGTTCCAAAGGGTGATGAACAGTTGGACTTTTAAAGAGTGAATAGCATTACTGTGGAACTTTTTCATTCAAACTGTACTGTGTGGCACAGAGTGAGTCATAATTGTGGCTTTGTCAATGTGTGTCTATAGGCATTCCGGTTCGTAGATAGATTCTCGTGCTTAATTGCAAGGGAGAAGTATAATTAATTTATTCTCTCTTCAACCTTTGTGACACGGGCACTGCAGCAAACGCACGCCGACTAATATTACTTCACGTGCATATTTTTTATTTTAACCCCTGCATGTTATGAATTATTACGTGAAATAAAACACAGTGACTTGTACATTGTGCACTGTGGGGGTGCAATGAAGTGGCGATTCATCGACTGACGACCGTTCTCCAAGCTCACGATGAGAAAATTAACGTGTTTTGATTCATATATGTGTCCCGTATGTAAAGTTTTCACGTGATCTTTATAGCTGCTAAATCAACAGTTCTCAACCAGTGGGATGGTGGGAAAGCCTTTCAGTGTGGGGGACTGGGGGAGGGGGTTTAGCGAGTTTAAGGGTGCAGTCTGCAGCATGGATACTGTGTAGGAGAACTAAAGAATGAATGTGGGCTTCATCAGCTCCACATTGCAGTAACAAAATACACGAATACAAACAATGATACAAATGCCTTGCGACAGCGATGACTAGAAATGTGGGCATGTAATCTCGGTGCATTGTGACCTTGAGGGGGGGTGTCATCGGGACAAGCGGTCTCGATTATGGGGGCCGTCATACAACAAGGTTGAGAATCACTGCACTAAATACCCAATACTTTCACCACAATCACAATAAAATATAATGATCCTTCAGAATCAGAATCTTTATTTCAACTGGAGGAATCCAGTGATCCTTCAATCAGCTGTCAATCCTGAATCACGACAATCGAATTGTGTGCTCCCTCCTTAGTCTCGACAAGCAGCCATCTTCTCTCCAAGCGACGGGATGGGTTCTTTTAGCACTGGTTTTTGTATCTTGTCAAGTATTTGGGGCGCACTCGTTGATGAAATCTGACCAGTTTTCACGTCGAGTAAGTCCATCTTAGCAACAAAGCTTTATACAGCAGACAGCCGTAATGGATCAGTGATTTCAACCTTGGTTGTAATGCATCAAAGATTGAACAAGTTCATTGTTTAATTATTAACTTGCTAAGAGATAAATTTAGTTCTCTATAAATTAAACTGCTATGGAGAGCTTTTACAGGTGGGACAAAGTGCAGCTCCCTTTGTTTTATGGACTGGGTAGGTCTGCTGAGCACACTCACCACTCGTCTCTTGTACAATTGACAGCAGTTTTCAAACATTTTTCGGGCATTTTCAGTTTAACACGAAGGCTTTCGTGAACAATATTGTACTGCATATTTTCAGGTTAACATAATCGCAATTTACATGATAACATTACCCTGCCTCCCTCTGATAGGCTCGCAGTGATGTCATCACCTTTACTCTATTTAAGACTGGAAACAGAAATACCTCTTCACAATTCTGGAAATTTGCCTGACGAAGCCAATTGTAATCACCAGTAAAACGAACTATAATTGTAAAAGTTGTGGGTTTACTCTCCAACACACCGGTGTGCTGAACTAGTAACTAATTGGCACGTTTTGTTTACGTGACAAGCCTTCCTAATTGGCTGTGACGGGTGGCAGTGTGTTAACGACACATTTATATTTACGCGATCTAACAAAACACGTTATGCCTCCGAAATTATATTTGTCATGCCAATGGTATTTGTGCTGTTGATAGTTTCACAACTGACTTCCCATGTGGCTGCCCTCTTTTCTCGCTGTCTCTGCTGCGTGTCGCCACACCTCAGGAGGGACGTGGGTTTGCGGAGGTTTTTTCCCAAGCAGATCCTCGACACGTGCAAGGTGACCACTGTTCTGCTTCACGAATCGGCGGAACGTTCTGTTTAAAAAAGAAAAATGCGTTGCGTCACGTTTGGGCACGAGGGTGTGTTTATAATATAAAAAAGTAAAGGCAAAGGTGCAGACCTGTGATTGCGTGCTCACTTCATCTATAGCAAAAGGGCTTCCACTAGAGGGAGCTCTCCTAAAGGATATTTTGGCCTACACTTCCACGCTGGCCAGACGTGGGAGGACCCACAGTTTATCCCACCACATGCCACCTTCAGATCGACTCGATGTGGGGAACCCATTCATAATGCTGGGTGGATAGGCTTGGATGGATTTATCAGCACATGTTTATATATTACACATTGCGTCTTATATTTATGGGCTTGCATGCTGAAATCTTAGTTTTAGTTGTATGTTTCTCTCGTAAAGACGGCGATTATATGTCTATTTATAAACTGTATTCTGAAATAGGGTCAGACAAATTGATTTGCTGTCCTGGCTGTGTGCAAGCGCCTTGCAGTAGGGTTGTAATGCACTTAAAAATCTCAGATGAATCGGTGATCCATCTGTTTATACAATTATGAATGACACACTTTCGAGTGGTATTTATTTCGTTGTTAAGGTTTCCATATTGCCTCCCGTCATCATTCACGTTCTGTAATTATAAATTGTGAATCCTGAAAGGACCAGATGTTGCTTTTGCTGCCACAGCTGTACGTTTTTTGTCTGTGCTGATTTCCTGGCTGTGTGTCTGTCTGTTCAGGCCAAGAACCTGCGGAGGATGATCCATCAGTCTTTCCGGCAGTATGCCAGCTTCTCGGAAGAGCAGTGCATGCTGAAGTTCTTTGAGATCTTTTCCTCCATATACCGCTTCGATCAAGAAAACTACAAGTGTGGTCTTGGGGTGAGGCCTGTCTCTCAACCGTACACCTCACTTTGAACGTTTTTTTTTTTTCTGGTCGAAAACAAAGCTCTAGTGATGCAATGCGATATGTCGTTGATACAGGACTTGGTTCGTACTTGTGTTATGTGTCATCAAGTAATCGATGATGATGATAAAGAACTGCTTGTGGATTTATTCAGCATCTAAATGCAACAGCATCTTAAAAGGCTGTACAGAAACAGTGGGTGTTTTTTTTTTTATAGAGAGAAGCTGTCAATCATTGGCAGAGGGGAAAAAAATAAAGATCTTCAGTTTGGATATGAACTGGGCCAGGGAGACGAAGGCACAGATGGCTCGGGGAAAGCAGTTGTAGAGACGACCTTGGGGTTGTAGAGGCGAATGAATGACCTCCCACTTCTTGAAGGTTGACTGGGCCCTTTGACAGAAAGCCTCTGTTGCCAGACTAGAGAGTGTGCATGGAGGGGTTTTAGAGTGAGAGGAGAGGTGAAAGGTAGACATGGGTGAGGATCTTGAAGACAGTGAGTGCGCGATCTTGAAATGGATATGGCTTTGGATTGGGAGCCAGTGGAAGTGATTGGCGTTTTGGGGTGATGTGGTCACGTTTGAGGATGCAGTTTGGTAGTTAGGCAGTGGAAATTTGGGGTCATCTGGAGTTTGTAGATGAGGGACTTTGGGGAGGGAGTAGAAGTAGTTGTGGTTATCGAATCGGAATATGATAAGGGGACAGATATGAGTCTCAGAAGCAGTTTGGGTAAGTGAGGCAGCCTGCAATTTTCCCCTTTGTCGCCTTTTTCCATGTGGAGAAGATAATTATTATCAAACGAATTTTCTCATTAATACTAATGAGAAATTACAGATCGAAGCCTCCCGAAAATAAATGGCGTAGCTTTTCTTTGTATGTCAGTCGTGGAGAATTAGTCTAAAATAGTACCTTTTATCTTGACCTTATTGAATCACCTTATTCAATATTCAATTGCCCTTTTACATTCTCTTTTGGAACACTGCATTCGCTCTCAAATGCCCATCAACATGCACATAATAGATCACAGCTTCTCATCTGCTGCTCTCATTTTTGGAATAATGTAGAATTCACTCTGCATACTTGTGATTCTCTGCCAGTGGCTAATACCCACCAAAACATATTTGTCTCCTAATCCCTTATGGCACATCCATATATTACCCTGTCATGCCTGTGAATTGTTCAGAGATGCCATTGCGTTTGGCAAGATACGAAGCCCGCGTTATTTGCAGAGATTTGCACTATTACAGACGGGTTCAAAGCGCTGCCTCGTTTGCACTGAATGTCGCCGTCAAACACAACGCGACATGGGAATTTAACCGAGGCGGACTTAAGTCGGATCGTGTTCTGCTGCGCGTAATGGTGTTGGCTCGTTGGAGACATTGCTGCTGGTGCAGATAATTAATATTCTAGCGTGCAGCGGTGTGTTTGTGCGTAGGACGTACAGCTGCACTGCAGTCTGTGTTACCCTTCCTTTGGCATTGCTGTTTCCCGCAATGGCCTCTTCCGGCGAGTGTTAACTCTCAAGTAAACAGGGCAGGCTGCGCCATGGGGCCTTGCTCATGAGCTCTCTAAAGATGCACTATAGAACACAGCGCTTTGGAGTGACGGCGTTAAATGAGGAACGCGGCGCGGTGATGTTATAGCCGTAGGATAACAGTGGGCCTCAATTGCGGCGTTGCCTAATTGTTAATGGTTAAACTATTTTTATTTAAACGTTACACATACACGCCATATTGGTCGTAAACATTTTCTGGTGAAAATTACATGTTTTTTTTTATCTTATTCTTGTGCTTAATGATTATTTATTGCACAATTTGATAGTCCTCTAAGAATTTACAGCCAACGTGGCCACAGTTGAATAATTTAGTCGTGCTGATTAAATATTTAGGACATACATATGGGCCATTTTATCATATAAAACTTTTAAAAACCATTATATATGCACGAGTGGTCACGCTCTGAAATATGACACTTGCTATTACCCCAGCTCTGAACGGAGAGACTAATGGCCACATTTGGCTCCATTAAAATTCTGATTTAATGCATTTTAAATTCTCTCTGAATGGCCGTGATTGAGCATGTAATTTTATTGTATTTATAATTTTGCAAATACGCCTATTTATAGTTTTTTTTCTGCCTCGTATGTCTAGTTATAAATAAGTGTGTTGGCTTTGACCTGTAACTTCAATCACAAACTATTTAATGTGGCTATTATGATATTCCTTAGCCAACTAAACTTCAATAATTACTTGAACAACCAACGTAGACTCCAAATGAGGATTTTTACATATATTTTATGTTTATGATCAAGTCTATAATCAAACCCATTGCTAATGCTCTGTGTGACATTGTTAAAATTCTCCACTTTTGCCTTTTTCAGTAACACACTAATTGTTCTAGATTGTCAATCGTTCCAAATATGTTTCCCTGCGGTGTGAATATTTCAAACTTAAATAGCTGGTGTATGTGCGCGGAGTGGGTCATGATGCAGTTGTGCCGTGGTTAGCAGGCTGCGCTACGAACCCGGTGACTCAAAATCGTTACCCGCTCACGGCCAACACCAGTGACGGTTATTTAAACCGGTCCTGGCCCTCCCCTTGGTCGACTCAGCCTCAAACGAGTACCTGGTGCGGTGTGTATAAACATCGCCATGGCGTGCATGGTGCTGGCCACCCACCCCATCGGGTGCCGTGCCGGCCTTTATAGGTGCTCGCTGACAGCACTTGCCCCGAAAGTATGTTGAAGCTATACGGGGGATCTTTGTCTTTGTTTTTGGCAGAGTGGATGGAGCATCTCTGTGGAGCTGGCTATTGGCCCTGAAGATGGAATCAGCTACCTGACTGATAAGGGCTCCTCGGTGAGTCTTGCTTCCAGGATACATCCAACGATCCCTTGCTGTCTGTCTGTCTGCCTGCCTGCCTCATGTGTTTTGTCTTTGTCTCTATCTGCCAGTCTCCTTGACTGCCTGTCTGCATGTCTGACTATCTGTCTTTTGCCTACTTGCCCATCTCACTGTCTGCAATGTCTGCCTCTGTACGTTTGCCTCTGTCTCATTTCATCTATATCTGGCTGTCGGTGTATCGGTCTGTACGTGCTGGTTTGTTTGTACACCTCGCTCGGGATTTTATTCAGGCTTGTCCATTTGTTATGTTTGTCGCATTTCATCTGTCGGCTGAGATGCAACTTGACTGTGCAGTTTGACCTTTTCTGAGACTAACGGTCACATTTTTTTGCATAGCAGACCAAATATATTCCATCATCTGTGAGCAAATAAAATACAATTTCCTTACAAAATTTCAGAGAACCTATTTAATTAGTCCCATTCTACACGTTGCATTGTTTTTAGTTTGTCAAAAATATTGAATAAACTTGTAAAGATGGCATTTTAAATGAAGGGTTAGGCTTCCCATTTCCTTTTAGCAAAAATTTTTTCACGGCAGAGCCAAACAAAGAATGTCCGCAATGTGGCAGTTTGCTGGCGCAAGGCTGTGAGTTGAGATGTGAGTAATTCCTCAGTGACTTGTCAAGGTTATGCCTCTCGCTTTCCCTGGGGCTTGCCTTGGGAAAGAGCAGGAATCAACAGATGACAAGCGGATGTGCCCCTCTTTGAAAGAGCAGTGTCGGAGAATGATGCTATACATTAGGGATGAGTGTCAGATTAAACAAAATCTGGTATTGGAGTTTTTTTTGCATTTTATGCCCAATTTCAGAGTTCACTTCTTTTCTACTTATTTAACAATTTATCTAGAATTATAGTTGCTGAGCACAGGCCCGAAAACTATTTAAATGTATTTAATTTTAATAACTTTACCTGCTTATGGCTTAATTTGGATAATTTCAATGATTTTAATTATTAATCATTGCATTTTTAAGGTAAATTTCTATCGGTAAAACAAGTTTTTTGTTACGTTAAAATATTGTTAGAAAAATTGATGCCACATCGCAGGAAAATAATGTCAGGTGGTATAACTTTTGGCAGGAAAAGCACAGAAGTGATGCCACTGGCATTAAAGCCACTTCCTGTGCCTTTAGAGTTTCAGATCAATCCAAAACAAAATAAATTCAGATTGTCCAACATTTGGTATCTCGGCTCCACTTCGGATTTCTCCGATTCATCTGAAAATCGTGACCACATCCCTTCAATACATATATAGCAGAGCTTTGAGTATTATTCCCTTCTCTGTGGGCATCCCAGTTCAACCCAACATTCCAAAAATCATGAATGCTGTTGAGCCAACATGCCACTGCAAGTTGCCATCCTGCCGTTAGTCTGAACCACTGACCGCCCACCCCTTCCAGCAATGTTAGACCGATGACTTGGGGAAGCTTCATCTAACAGTGGATAGATCATGGCTGAGAGATGATGGTGCCCCCCTGAGTTTTGAGGCTCAATGGGGGCTTTTGTGGGTAAACAGTGAGCATTATTAAATGTGTAAAAAGTGTGCCATATTAGTCACACTTGTAAGTGCTCAGCAGTCGATTGCAGTGTAGCTGAACTTTTTGCCAAAGAATTTACGCAGCTGTGTATTTAATTGAGTTTTTACAAACACTTTAATTAAACAGCAGGCAGTTTATTCATTGTCACGTGAGAGCCCATTGAGGCAATATGCCTCTGTGGTTAGGGACGATCTGAAGAAAGCGTGCACTTTTTAATCTTGCGATCTGAAATAAATAAAATCGCGAGCAATAGATCTCGCATGGAGTTAAGTGAACTTGACAGCTATATAGCGGAGGGGCCTCTTATTTATATCGGTAGCCAAGTTTGGCATTATGAACCTCGAAGGGCTTACTAGGTAAACAATTCAACTTGAGTGAGAAAGCATGAAATTTATGGCTGTGGTACACAATTACGCCCGCCTTGTGAAGTACGTCCCTTGGGGGGGGGCGGGGCGGGGGGTGGGGGTGCCGTTTTTCTTAGCGGATGGGAACATTTGCATGTGCAAATTACATCGAGTTGCGCGTTTTAAGTTTTGCCGTCGGCGGGTTGTGTGCGTGGGTGAAATTGAGTGCAATTGAGAAGCCGTCGCCGCAGTCACCACAGCGCTGTCACGTGGCCGCAACCCAGATGCCGAGTGCCGGGGTTTATTTAACCCTTCCCCGTTTGAGACTACTGCGAGATTGCAGGAGTGTGGGGTGGGGGGGTCCCCATTCGCCGCCGAATCTCCGAACGCGTGAGCAGTTCGGCTTTAATTTAGATTTGCAGAGGCGTATCGCCGTTGTTTGTAAAGACGTCGTGCTCACCGCAATGAACCGTAGCGACACTGACCGCCGCCAAACTGTGCTGCACGCCTTGTGGGGGAGCCCCTTGGTACGGATGAAGTTATTTCATTTAACTTCTGTCTTCCAGTTCTGTGTCGATGACGTACGTGCACGTCATCAGAACGGGATGGGGTTAAACGGCGGCCGCCTTTCGGGAGCGGGGGGGGGGGGGGGTCGTGTTTACGCAGAGCTGTTCTTGGATGCTAGGGGCAAAGTAAAACCCCAGCACCGATTTATGTGACACATTGTCGCGCTACGTTACGTCCAGCAGGGACCAGCCCTCTCCTCCCCCTCCTCCTGCCCCTCCTCCTCCTGCTCTTGTTTCCTCCGCCGCTTGTTCGTTAGAGTACCGTCTGACGGACGGGCGGGGCGGGCGGCCCCCCCCCCCCTCGGGCATTGCCAAAAATAACAAGCTTCCTGCTATAAGTGTCACTACCCCAGAGTCCCAGACGCAGCGTTAACCCATTCCTCGTGCTCTGCTCCACGATTAGTAACGGTTCAAGTCCAGCACGTTCTGTGATTGAGTGCAGACTGAGAGCAAACGATAATTTCGAGTACTTAGTAATTTGGTACACGTGCCGTTCTTATGTGGATGCATGTATGTTGAACTTATTTTGCACCGTACGTAGCCAACCATGCTCATTGGAGGTGCGGGGGAAGGACAAGAAACTAAACACAAAAATCAGTTCCAAAGAAATGAGTTTTCAATTTCGATTTTAAAGTGCATAGCTCTGATAGCTTCCTAATATCGGAATGGAAGAGCGTTCCAGACAGCCGCATAAGCGCATCTAAAAGCACACGATGCAGTGACCGTCTTTGTCCGACGACTAACCAAAATCCGCTGCGAGGATGACCGAAGTTTGCGTGATGGTTTTATGCTCAATGGAAGAAAGAAAAAAAAGCACACTAACGCGAAGGTGCTGTGCTTCACAGACATTGTCCGCGATAGTTTCGCAGTAGGGGGAGGCGATGATTGCCCTGTGTAATCCCAATCCAGTAATTTGACAAGAGGTGTGCATACAGTCATTGTGCGGTACTTGTACGTAGCCAACCAATTAGCACGGTTGGCTACGTACAGTGCGAACGAAGTTCAGTGTACATACGTACATTGTAACGACCGTCGACTATCGATGTTCATATATCTGACCTTTTCACATATCCGCCGAAATCTCAGTCCCCAGTGAGTCAGATATGCAACATTGCACTACGCTTGGTTACACGGGGTGTTTTACAGTGACCCCACTGGTATCTGATGTCCCTCTTACTTCTCAACAGGTGATTGAATATTCTAAAAGCAAAGGCTCCGTATGGTAAAGAGGAGAGAGCCAGACTTGTGGAGTCTTTGAAAAAAATAATCCTCTTCAAAATTGCGCACGATTAACCTATTGGGGTGTCTAAACATGGATCGCGCAGCATTACACGGAGGGACGAGAAAGCGGAATACGTGGATCAGAGAACAAGCACATTGACTGCAAAGGAAAGTCGGCTTTGGCAGGGATGATGGCCGGCGGTCGAGACTAATGACAAAGTAGCAGCCAAAGGGACTGGATGCAACCAAGAGGACGTCTACCGAGGAGATGGAGTGATAACATCGGCTCGTGTGCAGTTGGCTAGGTGGACTGTTGCTTTTCTAGGACCGTGAGGATTTTGCGATGGCTTGGGAAGGCCTTCATCCAGCAGAGGATAGATCATGGCTGACGATGATTGTTAATACATAGTAGTAAATGTCAGAAACTTGACGAGTAAACAGCCCAAACAGTTGCGTTTTAAAAGTGCTGTTGAAGTAAATCCTATATAACGCAAATGAACCTGGTGCTTGTGGAGTTGAGCTATGTCACGTTGTACTGTAGTTGTGGGTCTCATCTGGAAGCTTATATTCATTAATTGCAACCAAAATGAGCCGCGGTGCTTTAGTTGGGAAGGTGGAGCACTGAATGACTTTCGTCGCGTTGTTCCTGCATGTGAGCCTTCACTTTATACATATCGAGGCCAACACTGCCCCCTCGTGTGTTCACGACAGAATGCATTGGCCTCACAACGCTGTGTGGGCGGAAACTGCAATCTTTCACCCTCGCTGGCAACATTTTATGATTTATCACCATTCGGGGTCACAGTTGCTGTAAAATGTTAGCACCTCCAGTGGTTGCAGAGTTCACGTAAACCGGTTGTAATGCAACGTAAGGAAATAGCAGTGTGGATGCTCGCACCACCGGACCATCACGAATGGCAAAGGTGAGGGGAGGCCTTCATCCAGCAGTGGATAGAGAATTGTTGAAGAGGAAGATGAAGATGATGGTGAATTAAAAACAAAATCCATTTTCAGTCCACTGTTGAATGATGGGCCTCTTAGGGCCATGTCAGTTGGTTGGTAGAAGCGAGGTCCATGACTGAGTTCACATCACTCGCCACTGATGCCCTCTGTGGTAGGGAATTGAACTCAGGTTGCACGGTTTTCGGTTCAGTGCACTAACCACTGTACCACTTCTCCCCACCACATATAACTTATTTCCTCATCCTCCTCATCCTCCGCTTCCTCCCCTGTGCGCCCACTTTCTTCCTGCTGCTCTGCTGTACTGGGCGTCTGTGAAAAAGAGCTGTATAGCTCATCGGATTCCTCCACTATAATGAAAGATTATGATTCTACTAAAGATTATGATCTCGAGCCGTGTGCCCTCTTTGTCCGTCTTGAGGACATCCGTCCCGGCATCTCTTCTTTCTCCTGTTCATCTTGCCCCCCCCACCCCCCCCCCCCCTCGTTCTGCCGCCCTGTTACGCAACTGACGCCACTCCCCCTTCCGTGGCGTGCCATGGGTAACAATGTTTTGTATGAGTTGACAACATCAAGCCTTACCCACGCACTCTTCCACCCCGAGCTGCCAGGCATAAGCTAAAAGTGCTGTGTGGCACTTCATCAGCAGATTTTTTTAATTGAGTATCACTGCACAAAAGTCTCTTCTTTTTTCTTGTACATATGAGTTTATAATCACGCTTGCAACTTGACATTTTCAATCGAAGACTTTTAAAAGTGACATGAACAAAATAAGCGCAGATGTTGTAAGCGTTTAGGTGTACGAGCGGATATTTCCATCACTTCGCTTCTGCCAATGTCTACAACTTCAGTAAACCCGCGCTGTAATGCACCTGATGCTTCCGCGTGCACCTGTTATTGACATCGACCGTGCCCTACCGCCGATCGGTGCCATGTGCACCCAGCGTGACGAGCCTCAGACGCGTCTTCCTCCCTTGCGCCCTACAGCCGACGCATCTGGCCGACTTCACGCAAGTCAAATCGATTCAGTACTCCCAGACGGAGGACCGCGACAGGAAGGGCACCCTGCAGCTGAAAATCGCCGGAGCTTCAGAGGTGAGTCGTTAGCGTCCGGCCGTCCCGGTCTGCCTTGCGTCCCAGATGTTTCCGTGAATGCGCGACGAGGCCAGTGTTAGCTCTCCGACGTGTCTTCGTTGGTTAACCGCGCATTGTTTGAAATGATTTCCGACGTTTCTGTCCGCGCGATGGAATTTTCTTCAGCAGCTCAATACAGTTTCTGTGGGAGGAGTGATTCACCATGCTTGGCAATTTGATGCATTGTCACCATGCAGGGTCATGATTCGACTTTTTGTTTGTTACAATTGTGGTGAATGGAAGCTCTCAGCATGTGAAGTGAGACTATAAGCTATTTAAACTATTTTTTATTTTACCATGTAAGGCCCACTGAGCTATTAGCTCTTTTCTAAAGCAACCTGACCACAAATGATTGGTCAATGAAGTGGTTTGTCACGTGGAAATTTATAGCAGCCAAATACTTAAACACATGTTGATTCTAAATTTGGAGGGAAAAACCAGAGGACCTGGAGAAAAAACCACGCGACCACGGGGAGAACATACAAACTCTAAATATACAGGTGTCGGGGTCGGGATCAAACCCTCGACTTCCTGCATTACAAGCAAGGGAGTTAACATCTCACCACCGCGGCACCCTGACGTTGGCCGTCATCCCCAACAACGAGAAAACACATCGGCACAGCCGCGAAAACCTTGCGCGGCAATTTGAGACCGACATTATTTTTCAATTCCCGCAGTGAGCTTTTGTTGGGCAAGCCTCCTTCCTGTACTGTGCTGTGAATGCATCCGAGCAACGGTGCAAGTGGAATAGTGTAGTTGGGGGCTGGTGGTGCGGTGGTACGCGCACGACACTCGGAACACGGACGACCTGAGATTGATGTCTGGCCACGCACGGCTAACCATCAGTGGCGAGTGATATCTGAATTGGTTCGTCCACTCCCTTCTTCACAATCTCAAGCTGACCGGCTTGGTGAAGTATGTTCAAACAACCCTCCATGACCAACACGGCATGGTGAAGCCTTCAGGGGATTGACAAAGGGCTTTCACATTATTTTTGTTTTACGGCATTTAAGGCAGGCACAGTTCGTCGGCATGTTGCGTGCAGTGGGGTAAAGTGTTGGTACTCCCTCCCCTTACAAGATGTTTGGTCAGTGTCGTAGAATCGGCAACGAATACCCTCTACACAGAGGGGGGGGGGGGGCTCTGTAGAGCTCCCTCTAGTGCAGGCCCTTTGCAGCGGGGGCGTGGAGCAAGCGGTCGCAGGGCTGCGCTTCTCACTTCTACCCACGTGAACGGAGACAGCGTCGCCGCTGTTTGTGCATTTCATTTCCACCGTCAATGGCCTTGCAGCCATAGACTGTGGCCACCTGTTTTTCAATCCCCCATAGGCTCTCGTGTGCAGGATATATTTAGTGTGCGGCTACCAAGCGATGTCGGACTTGTTTTGTACACCTACCCTTGAACGCAGGGCAGTGCCTTGAGAGTGTAACTAATGAAGCGAAGTGGGCATGGAAAAAGCACACGGGTAGTGTGCGTGCATGCTCGTAATGCACAACTAATCTGCTAATGGGTCGGTCAGCCCACTGAGTGATGTTTAAAGTAAATGGGAGGCTCTCTATGAATTCATATTTATTGTCGTATAATGGAAATAAATGGACTGGTTGTGCGTCTCTTACTTATGCTCTTGACTTAATTCCTTGTATCGCTTTAAATCCGTCGAATGATTAACTCCAGCTATTACTTTGAACAATGTTGACATTGAATAAAATTACCTGAAATATTTTTTTAGAATCAAGGTATACAGTTGGGATGCTGCCGCGTTATGATGGTTATCAGCGTGCTGGGCTTACGATCCAGAGGCCGACGGTTCGATTCGTACGTACGTACATATGTGGAACTTCTTTCCCATCGTAGCCAACCGTGCTTATCGGAAGTACGGGGGAGGAAGGACAACAAACCAAACACAACAAGCAGTTCGAAATTAAGAGATATGTTAGATCCCGGCACGGCAGCTGAATCTCCCCCGCCCCCCCCATCTGTCCAACCAATGGGTACAGCATGGTTAATCAATTGGCACATTCCGTGCAGTGGGGTAAAGTGTGGGTACTCCTACCTCTTCCAAGAATGTCTGGCCGGTGTGGAAGAGTAGTCCAATTACTCTCTTCGAGAGGCTGTCTAGGGCTCCCGCTATTGGAGGCCCTTCTGCCAGTAGTGATTTGTGCAAGAAATTTCATGAAATCAGGTCTGCACTTTTACCTTTAAAAACTAAATCGCTGGACGTCCGACGAATGGAGTTGGTGCCAGCGTGGTGTCCGTTCACGCGTGTATCTCCACCCCGCAGCTGCTCACAATCACCACACCCTCGCTCACGATCGCGGAGAACATGGCCGACCTCATCGACGGCTACTGCCGGCTGGCAAACTCCACCGGCAAGTCGTTCGTTCTCCGTCAGCTCAAAGGTACGCTTCCCTCCCTCCTTCCCTCCCTCCCTCCTTCCCCTCCCTCCGTCCGTGCGGCAATCATCAGTAGTTCACAGCCACGGTTCGGTAGAGCTGTCGTGATTCACATCTGTGCCCCTGTTCGTCCCTGCCCATGAAGTGTCGCGATTTGATTCAAGGATCAGTTCTTGTATTTTTTTTTATTGCGGTGAACGTAGCCGGCTGCAATTACTTACTAAATGTACGATTTCAAACTTGCAGTGAGTCTCGCGTAGTCGATTCGACATGTGTATCGTGAACTTAAAAATGTAAGTCGATTAATCGCCGCACCTCTACTTCTAGGGGTCATACAATGTGACTAATGATGCGGTGGAGGGTTACGTGAACACTATTCTGTTTTAGTGTATGGCAGCAATGTGTTGAGGAGCGATATGCAAATGTCGAGTTCTGTTAGCCACGAGAGAGCTATAGGAGAGTTCATGTGGGTTGTGCTTTTCCGCCCTTGAAGGAGCGTAGACTACAATGGTTTACTGTGTGGTCCATAGTCTGGGTTTCATGGCCACAATTGCACTACCGTTCATGAGGGAGATGTGCTCATTAGCCTACTGATGTTTTGATGTGGTTGATGGTTACACCGATGTCTCCAAAGTATATCAAAGCCAGGAGGTGAAATGTTTGTGTCTTGAACAAGATATTTATTCGGTACGTTTGCGTTGTTTCATTGAGTTTGCCAGCATTCCTCCAGCTGGGCGAGTTTCTAGGATGGACTCTTAACTAGATGCCAAACAAGAAAAGAGCTCCTTAGGCACTATTACTAACCTCTAACTAGAGCCCTAACCAATAACTGTAATTATTTACCCTTATAACAAGAACTCTAAACCCTGGACCCTAACCCCCCTAAACCATCCACGAAAAAGAAGTAGCGTCCCTTTATAATGTATCGAGTAAAAGATGAATAAGCGCAAATTGCAAAGTGCCTCTGCGCATTCGCCACAATTCAAGGAAGCCTTGGGATTAACCGAAAATATGGTCCGTCATCGTCGTCACGATTTATCGTCAGCCTGTAGGTGTCCGCTGCACATTTGTTTCCACTTTGCTCTGTCTTGTGCCAACATGCTCAAGTCGTGCCACATCTTTCTGGCACCGATCTCTTGTGGTGGTCATCGTCAAGCCATTCGCTGTTAGGTCTTCCTCTCTTTCCGGTTCATTCCATTTTTGTGTCACCGAACAACACGCCGTTAATTTTCCTGTTGTCCATCCTACACGTGTGTCCAAATAGTGCCGGTTTCCTTCTCGTCACTGCCTGCATCATCAGGTCTTCTTATACGTGCAAACCTTTTTCGCATACGGTCTGCAATTGGATTAAAATCTGCGGGGCGAGTAGTGCCGGGGAAATCTGTTTCTCCCTACCCAGTGCTTGCAGTGAATCATCACTCCCTTGACCAATTATTTGACGGATCATTTATCTGCTGTGAACCCTGCTGTGGATGAATGCAAATGACAATTAGCTGTCATTCATACAGGCAGACTATCCAGTTGCAGCTGTGTGACGGATAAACAAAATGAAACTCAACTGTGGCACGGAAAGAAAAAAAAAGTTTTGTAGTACCTGTCATCAATGTTGAAAAAAAAAGTTTTGTTTGTAGTACCTGTCATGAATGTTGAAATCCGTCTTCCTGTCTGGGGTGACTGCAATGTACCTGCGATGACATGCTCGTCGATAACCACAGTGCTGATTAGTCACTAACCGGCACTGTAAACGTCAAAGTCCGTATTTGTGTCTTGTCTCCTACACGCACACACACACAGAGGGGAGGGGGGGACAGTACAAACCTCTATGGATGGAAGAGAAAAATCCATATTTGTCAGTTTTCCCCAAAAAAATATAAGCTAGTGGAATCGTGTTTACCTTTCACAACAGAAATAGTTGCACCTTGGCAAGCATGTGTCGCCGTGATCGTTACCAAATGGGTGAGCGGTGGTTCAGCGGTTAGCGAGCTGCGCTATGAACCCGGCAACCCGAGTTCGATACCCGCTCACAGCCAACATTGGTGACATATATTAACCGGTCCTGGGCCTCCCCTAGGTCGACTCAGCCTTAAGTGAATACTTGGTGCAGTGTGTAAACATCGCCACTTGGGATACAAAGGCAGCAGGACATGGTTGCTGGCCACCCACTTCCTCACGTGCTGTACCGGCCTTCATGCGCACTACTCACTAACAGCACTTGCCCCCACAGTCAGGCTCGACCGGGGTGGGGCGGGATCTTTGTCTCTGTTACCAACTGCGCCAAGCCGTAGATGTTTGGCCAGTAACTTCGGAGAGTTCCGGGGAGAGGGCAGGCCCCCGCTCGACAGGAGGGGAGGGGCTCTAGGAAAATGCTTAGTCGTCTGATTAGCCTAGGGGGGCGGGTGGGAGTGTCGTGTGTGCGTGTGTGCTATGTTACGTCACCTAACCTGCCCTGAACACGGGGCTGGGCAGGAGACGCAGTGAAAAACCTCGGCGGCCGGCCGCCGTGATACACGATTCGTTCCACGATCATTTTGCCTGTGATGCGTGGCACGCGATTTCCTCGCTGGATTGCTACGTGGGCGATGTTGAAGGAGCTCAAGTGCTGTGTCTTTTTTGTCACAGATGGAGAGAGAGCGCTGCCGTCCATTCCAAAGTGAGTGACCTGTTCCACATCGTTCTGTGTGTTGTGTTGCTGTGTGCGAGACGGAGAGAGAGAGCCGTCTGGGTTGTTCCATTGGCATTGTGTTACCGATTGCCCATTTCGCTTGGAAGTCTAGAGCTGCTGTCCTTGGGTCTGTTAACTCTTCCTGTTAGTTTAAAATGTTTGCGGTTGCCAAGGTAGGCGAGTTCAATTCCTGATTGGCGGTTGACTCAGCCCTCCAATGAGTACCACTTTGTGAGGACGTCAACATTGGTTGTGCTATGGACACACCCGCCCCCGCCACGGGAATGGGGAATTTCCATCAGTGGCTCAGGGCTGTTAACTGGAGATGAACACCGCTTAAATGCTCATCTGTGCACCAAATCACTTTGACAGTAGATGTTTTATGTTTAAATGTAAATGAGTGTCCACAGAACAAATAGAATGTGACATGAGTAAAGTGCCCAATTACTCCATCCTGGCCCTGTACTTTAACCACTCAAGTAGAACAGGCGTCTGATATATTGCGCAACAAGATCGAATTATAATCTCACGGCTCAACAAGGCAAATACGAGTAACTCCTCGGCAACTTGTCCAAAGCAACCCTAACAACGGGGAGACTTTACTTGGGTTTGTGCGAGGTGCGTTAGAACTCCGAGCGGTGACATGCACAATGTGGGTTTCGTTTGTCTTTCATCTGTCAGGGTCCAAAATAACGCCGCTCACGCCGGAGCGACGAAGAAAGTAACCCCGGCTGGTAAGCGATGGATGCCCTCTACATACGCGCGCGTGCGAGTTGTTGCCAACAGAGGGCAGCACGGTCTTACGCTGCAGGCTGAAAACTGCCGTGAAAGTGTTCGGTCATGAACTTGCCCGAGCAAGCCGTTGTCTTGTTTACCCAAAGGTTAAGCGAACGATCGCTCCATATGAATGTTTGCAGTGCGGGTCCGGAGACACCAGTTCGGCAGAATGCTGACGTGCTCTGGTTTTATTTATAATTGCCGGTAAGACGCTCCCTTGAGAGCGGTGGGGGGGCGGGTGTTACTTATCGTGGGATGATCGAGGGTAATGAAACAAACTAAAAGTTGAATGAGAAAAATAAAATGAAAAGTTGCTGAAAAATGGACGATGGCCAGCATTGCCAGTCCTGGACAGTATCACTTGGTTTCCACCTTTGCTTTCGCTTGAGCTATGACCGATACACCCGCTCATGACACGAGCTCCCAAAGCAAAACACAAATATTTGATTAGGGTGAGAGTATAAATTTGTTTTAAATAGACAAAACTGAATGGAACAGTTGCACGAATTTAAACAATCGCACTTTGCGCATCTACAACGGCATGCTTTGGAACTTCTAGCAACACGTGTAAACATTGCTTTTGTCTCGTCCTGAGATTATGGCTCGGGTATGTGCACTTCACCTATCGTCAAATTTGTACATTTAAAAAACGCCCAATGGCCATTATAATGTAATAAATGCAACCTAAGTGAAATAATTCCTGCCCTGTTCCCATCACCCCCATTTATTTTACCTCTGGCTTTTCCGAGGAGATGTTGGCATATGGCCTCACACAGTGGGCTTAATTGCGATAGCTGAATATTCCGGGGGGGGGGGGGGGGTGGAGGAATCCATAGCAAGAAGTACAACATGGCCATTTGCAGATGACCGATCCCAGAGAGGTGGGACTGCTCCGTGTGAGCTGCCCTTGTCAGAGAGCCTCATAAATAATTGAGTGTTGCTTCTTTTGGTAGCCATTCTTTCCCCTGCACTGCACTGTGTGCATTATCTCCCCCCCACCCCTTTCCTATTAGATGAAAAGCCATCCTGCTCCGCAGAAAGATGTATGTGGGTGTTTTTAATGGCTTGCGTGCACTGTGTTTATCTTTATACGCGTCCCGCCTTATGTCACTCGTGAAAAGCATCTCGGCATAATAGCGCCCTTATGAGACGAAGTACATCTATGTATCTGCGAGTCCCCCTTTGTGAATGCTTAATTTGGTGCTTCAAGCCACGGAAAAGTGGCTCTATCTCCTGCCAAGCGTCTAATGGTGACCGTGATATGCGGCATGCAAACGCTCTCCCCGTGTGACGCTGCTGCCGCCTCTCATCGCGGGATAATGCCCGGAGCCACTCACTCGAGCACACGGTCACACGGTGCCCTATCGCGAGCACACCGGCACCATGAGATTGCATCTTGCGTTTGTTGGGATGAATTTTAACAAGCCCGTCTTTCTCCTATCCAGCTTCCTTGTTTTTGTTTAATTGTCTCTTCTCATGCTCGCTCGTCTTTCGAGAGGGTTGAATATATTCTTTCTTTCATTTTTCAGCCAAGAAAGGCAACCTGTTTTTCCTCCCTTTTCTGAGCTGTTCCCATCGCCGGCGCAAGGGTACATTCTGAGTGAGCGGACGTCTGCATTGCAGCAGATGGTGTGCTGCGTGGCTGCTCGTGTGACTAATCCCTGCGTGTGCTGCTCAAGGGTTACACTGGGGAACCTACGATCTCCCGGGCCAGACACGGGCCCGTGGCTTGGTTTCACATGGGCCCACGGCCACACAAGATCTGCCACCGTGAAACGGCGCTTCCAAACGATGTTTATCCATCCCTGCGAGCATCTTGGTCGCACTGATCGGCTACTAGAGGGGATTATTTTTGGCCTGGCAACAGCGCCGTTTCTAACTTGAGCCTGATCAGTCGCCTTTGTCCCTGCAAGGGGTCTTTAAAAAGTACTTGTTCGGCATGAGCATTGTGTTTTTTGTTGTTGCATTATTAATGGATAGCGCTAAAGTGGGTGTTAATGCGTGAACCCCCCAAAGGGTGTCTGAAAGTCACATTGGACTCTCAGTAAGTTACAGTTTCTTCCACCCTTGCTGTAGGAACTACCCTATAAATATCCAGGTGAATCGGGTGATGAAAGGGTACATGCACGAAACGTCTGTTGTATAAAAACAACTATTACAGAGAATGCAAAAGCTTGCCTCGGTGCGATCCCTGCGCTCCCGTTTGTTGTTCACTTCACTTGAGCTGCTACTCTAACAGCATGCTCGAAGCACTCATCTGCTGACTGGGGCAGCAAGCATTGACGGCAGCCACTGGTTTAAGAGTTCCCCGGTTTTTTTTACTCTCGTTAGTCCATCGATTCATTTACGCATATCAAACGTCGCCGTGGCCTTTCCTTACCTTCTTCCCGGTGACCGTGCAAACGGGGACGACGACTGACGTGCACGCGCGTAAAACGCTTCAACATGCATGCGCAGCAGAGGTCAGCAGGGAGAGAGAGAGAAGGTGGGCGTTGCGCGTGTGCGCAGCGCGAGCTACTGAAGCACCGGTCAGCACTGCGGCCTTCCCAGCTCGTTTTGTTCAATTGTTATTTACGGCTTTCGGCCGTACCGTCCCAGAGTCGCCGTGTCGGCGTATTCGTTGCGTTTGATTGGGCACGATGTAAAACCGGCGACAGCACGCAGATGTTTGTAGCGACCCCAGGTATTCTCACGTGCATTTTCTCTTTGTCTGTTCCCTTTCCTCTCCGCTGCATACATGCCCACCGGACATAACAGCCAGCAGTACTAGTGACGGTAACACGTCTTACATGCTGTTACACCCGCTGTCTTGCTAACCGCGCCACACACCCTCACACGTGTCGCCCGAGTCGCGTTTTGCCGTTGTTAACACCTCGCGCGCGCGGACGACGGGTGTGCGGATGGCCGTCGGGCCGTTTGAGGCCGACGTTTAATTAACGGTATCACGAAACAAAGGCGGAGGTGGCGGCTTGTAAATTAAGAGGGGCCAGCTGCGGCCACGAGGAACAGACCCCGGCCGCTTCGCGACGGGAGGATAATAAACGCGGCAGTAAATTTGGTCGCCTCGGTGGATATCGCCCGCACGCACATGCCTCCGGCACGTCAATGGCCCCATTCAGAGCTGCCACATTCTCCGTGTCCGGAGGCCTGATAATCTCACGCCCACCCACTTTCGCGTTCTGCTTCCCCTCCTCCCCTCCCCCCTGCCCAATTGCCCATCCACCCACTCATGGGCTGACAAAACTCTATTCTTTCCTTGTTTGTCTATTCCGCTGCGATGGATTCCAGGCTAGTAAGGGGACCCATTCGTGGCCTTTGGTGTCCCGTAAGCGCTAATAATAATAATAGCGGTTTCCACGATATAATTTATTTATTTTGATTCGCCGACCGAATGCCGTCTGCAAAGAGCTCGACATTTCAGCCGCTCTCAAACACGATGTGCGATTCCTCGATTGCAGATACAGACGACTACGCCGAGATCGTGGACGATGAAGACACTTACAACATGCCGTCCAGTGAGTAACCCGCAGCTCTTTTCCGAGTTTTTTCACGATCGACCACCCTCGCACACCTCTTGTCATATTTGCTAATCACTTCCAAATCGACGGTCACGTGAGAGTGGCGGGGGAGGGGGGGGACCTACACGTGAGAGGTGATTCGTACGACGGTGGTGCTCTTCGGCACACGGATCTCAGGTGGCTCGCCGCTCGCATGGGTGGAGGCCATTGAGCCGTCCCACCGCCAGTTTTTTCGCTGCGAGAGAATCGAGGCGAAGAGCTTGGCAACTAAAAAAATCGCACGCATCCACCGCTAATTTCTTTCCTTGACCCCCCCACCAATCCTCACGTTTGCCGCAAATCCTCGCGGTGTCTTCGCCGACGGTCGCGATGTTCGACTCCATATGGCGGCTTCAGCTTTACGGGCAGGGCGCCCCGCCCTCCCTCAATCCAACCCCCGCCATGCTCCTGTCACGGGCAGGGTTTGCCAAGCAGCTGCTCCTTGGCCCCGGTTGTGCGGTCTCGGCAGCAAATCCGCCGAGCCGCCATGGCACAGCGGAGATCATTACCGCGACGCGACACGCGGTCTTCCCTTAATTTGCCAGTTTGGCTTCCAGTAATTGAAGCGCTGGCTTTTGCAATGCTGAGAGCCCCGATATTCTTTCCAGCTCCTCGAGACACTCACTGCAAACTGACCGTGTATATTTTTCTTGTATTTGCGATGCTTCTGTAGTGCTATGTGTATCCGGTCTCTGTGCAAGGGTTGGTAGAAACATAAACTGGACTTCTTTCTTTGGTATTTTCCCCTGAATGGCAATGCAGAAAGCAGTGGGATAGTTGAAGGTATGGGCTTCGCTCCTTACGAACACAACTGCTCGTTCCGTTTGCTCGTGCCGTTCGTACAAAGCATCGCGCTTTTACATTATTGTTTTATTGATTTATGCTGGGAAGAAAGCATGTGTTGTGTTGTGAGCTTCGTGCATCCAAAAATGTAATTGATACGGTTCTTTGTTTTTTTTTTTATCCCGCAACCCCTTCCCACCCGCCCGCTCGCCCGCCCGCTCCCAACCCAGACATACGTAAACACGCAGACACATCGTGAAATGTAGGATCCCCCCATCGCCTTGTGATATGTGAAAGCATGACGAGCTTCTTTTTACCTTTGGCACATTTCGACTGAGTCGAGGAACATCCCAAAGTGTTGCTGTATGCACGTGCAGAAATTTGCACTTTGTTATCGGAGTTATTTAAAATGGCATGAGACTGCAAAATGTCAAGCCTAGCTTACATTTTCCCATGAAATGCCCTCTTGGCTCCACAGAAAACTGGGAGCGGTTAATCATATCAGGTGTGCACTTAAAGTGCGTCCCATCTACTGTGCCCGAGCACTTGCGCTTGTGTTCATTCGCTTGCTTGTTTGTTTCGTGCAGCAAGGGACTACGAAATCCCTCGGGACGAGGTGGAGTTGGTGACGTGTATAGGGGAAGGGCAGTTTGGAGATGTTCACAAGGGCATTTACAAGAGTCCGGTGAGCTTCCCTTCCCACGTGCACGTATGCGTCGCCTAATGAGCCTCCCCGTGTAGCTGGGCAGGCACTGGATACCTTATAAGGACGTGCGTGCCTCAACCGGGATTACACACCAAACAATGTGTTGCTCTTCTATTTTTTTTTCCTTGCTGGCAGAATGAATGAATGAATTATGCATGTGAGGTTAGGAACCAGTGAGTCGGAACAGGCATTTACATTTGCTGACCGTGTACCGTCTTTGTTACGTTATTAATGTTCTTCGGATATATAAAAAATGTATTTGTTGCACACCCTGCGCGTGTAAAAAAAAATTGTCCGTGTTATTTTGGCGGTTGTCTTTTCGTTATTATTACTACGTGCGTTGTTTAAATTATTGATGCATACACCGATGGCGCATGCTGTATATGTCGTTCCCACATGTCGAGCATTTTCTATTTTTAATACGCAATTTTTCCCCCCCCCAATTAAATCTCCCTATGCCGAATGCTTTTGTATGTGCACACAGAGCGACCCGAACATGCCGGTGGCTGTGAAGACGTGCAAGGAGAGCTGTTCGGACAGCGTTCGGGAGAAGTTTCTTCAAGAGGCGTGTAAGTAGCTACGTGGGATTCCCAGAGGCCCCTTATCCAGTGCCCCTCGCCCCTAATCCCATGCCCTTAGTCCCTTATCCTACTTTCCTGAAGGGCCTTTACCGCATGCACTAGCTCCTTATCCCACATTCTCGGAGGCTCCTTATCCCATGCCCTCACCCCTTATCCCACATTCCTGATGTCCCCTTATCTCATGGCCTAGCCCCTTATACCCCTATCCCGGAGGCCCCTTATCGCCTATTGCTTGGGATAAGGGCTGTCCAACACAGCAACCTACCACACGCATCCCACTGGGCGCACGGCCTAAATGAAAATAAATCATTGAGGCCATTCATTTGCTCAGGGAGGGTGAAGCAGTGGTGCAGCGGTTAGTGCACGGAGCGTTGAAGCCCACAGCATTGAGTTTGATTCGCAGCCATGGCTAACATCAATGCCGAGTGAGATGTGAACCAGCCTAAGACCCCTACACCAACCTGCCTTAACTGGCATGGTGAAGTATGGTCAAACAACCCCCACGACTCGCACATGATAAGCCACTTTGTTGAACTATCATTTGTGGCCAGGCCACTTATGAAAAATAAGTTAATATCTCATTGGGCTTTACCTGGTAAGATTTAGAAAAAATTACTTTTATTTATATATGTTTAAGGGATTTGTTTACCTGTCCTATACTTTGCACTCCAATTGTGTTTTTGTATTGTTTGTTGTAACGTTGTGACCCACCCCTACTGGACCTCTATGAAAAAGAGCTTTATACCTCATCGGATTCCTCCAGTATAAATAAATATTCTGATTCTGGATTGACAACGGCCTTCAAAAAAATGCGTCACAGAGAAGCAACGTGAATGTCACTCGTTTAGGCATACACTCGCACTATTGATTCTTGTCCTGGTTTTGAAATTGCCAGTAAAAGGATAATTTTGTGCATTGACTGTTGTGCTTCGGCTTGCGGGAACACCAGACACCATGCGGCAGTTTGATCACCCGCACATCGTCAAGCTGATCGGCGTCATATCGGACCCGCCCATATGGATCGTGATGGAGCTGTGCAAGTACGGGGAGGTAAATAGCGCAGCCTGTGACACGGAAGATCTTTTGCCGGCGGTTTCTGCCGTGACCGTTTTTAACGCAACTTAAAAGAAAAGTACGTTTCGTCTTAGCAATTTCCACTAATTGTCTCTTTGCTATTTTATATCGATTCACAGAGCTTGTCAGTAATGGAAGAATTAATGAGTATTAATTGCCCTGGAACTTCATTTGTCGTTATCTGCAAGGCTGTATGAAAATGGAGTTTGATCCGATGTGATGCCCGTTGTTAACCTGTTTGTGCCCTGTGCGTTGTCCGCTGTGGGGACGTGGGTCGGTGGCGGTAGTGTAGTGGTTAGCGCACCACGCTATGACCCCGGCGACACCAGTACAATTTCCGCTCATGACCAATAACCGTGGTGAATATTTGAACTCGTCCTGGGCCTCCCCTAGGTCGACTTGGCCTTAAATGAGGACTCTCTGTGGTGTGTAAGCAGAACACTAGAGAGACAATGGTGGCCAGGCGTGGCGTTGATAACCCCCCACACACACCCCTCGTGCGCTATGCCGGCCTTGGTAGGTGCTGCTCGCTAACAGCACTTGCCCCAAGAGCCCGTAGAGGGCTATATGGGGATCTTTGTCTTTTGAGGATGTTGGCGAGTCATTCTCTTGTTGTTTGCTTGCAGCTGCGCTCGTACCTGCAGTCAAACTGCTACACACTGGACCTGGGCACGCTCATTCTCTACATCTACCAGCTCAGCACGGCCCTCTCCTACCTGGAGAGCAAAAAGATCGTGCACAGGTAACGAGTGCACGCTCCTATGTTGGTGTAACGTTTTGAAATATATTCGTGTTGGAAAGGTTTTGCAAATATCGTTCAACATGATCATCATTATGAGACCTCCTTTACCAGTGGCAAAATATAGTAATAGGTTTTTACCCTTTCAACTGGTACAAAAGCTGACACCTTTATACAAGGCATCATGTTTGCAATAACCACAACACAAGCAGTCAAAATGCAAACAAAAAGAAACAACTCTGATAATGATATGCACTGTACGCTTTTTGGCGTCATCTGGTCCAACACCAATGGAGACTAGGCTCTAAGAAAAGCTGTCTCGGGTGTGGACCAATCAACTTCAAGGACAGTGCATATCATTATCATCATCAGAGTTGTTTCTTTTTGTTTGCATTTTGACTGCTTGTGTTGTGGTTATTGCAAACATGATGCCTTGTATAAAGGTGTCAGTTTTTGTACCAGTTGAAAGGGTAAAAACCTATTACTACAACATATCATCGTCGTCATAATCAGCCGTGGCCAATCCAAAACTGGATGAAGTCCTCCCCATGCCGCCACCATCTCTCGTGATCCTGCAATATAATAGTCCACCTCGTCTCTGCACGCTCACTGATTTTCTTGCTCCGCCTCTTTGGTGGACGTCCTACTTGAAATATTTATTGCTTATTTTTAAGTCCAAACTTGCAAGAGCACCTTTTAGTTTCTTAAGGTATTTTGTTGTATTCTTTTTCATGGAAAAAATATGCAACGTGTGTGCATTTTTATTTAGCTCGGTTATTTGGTTCTAGAATGAAGCGATAAGTGCGGTGGTGAGCGCGCTATGTATGTATGTATGTTGAACTTCTTTCGCACCGTACGTAGCCAACCGCGCAACAAACTGATGCTAAATCTCGGCCACGGCTAACATCGGTCGTGGGTGATATCTGCCCCTCATCCTGAGCCTCCTCTTCGCCACCAACCCGTGTCGTCAAAAAACCGATCTCCGCGACCAACACGGCAGGGAGAAATGCCTTTATCAAGCGGTGCATTGAGAATAATTACCACAATTGGTATTACTCGCAGCAGCAGCAGTAGACATTGTCCCCGGCTCGCAAGACTGATGCCCGCTTGCAGGCTGGGTGCCGAGTCAGCTTGTGCTGCCACTGGGTGGTGCCCTTTCAAATGTTTTGAAATCGCGTGGAAGAGTGCTCTCGAGACTTGCCCAGTGGCATAGGGCAGTCTGTCAAAAAACAAATCGCTATCCTCATAAAAGGAGCCACACATTTAGTTTAGTCGTTTGGTTACCTTACCTACACTTGGCAACACGAGTTCGATTCCTGCTCATGGCCAACACCGGTGACGATTATCTGAACCGATCCTGGGCCCTCCCCTACGTTGACGACTCCAATCGTGTTTTTGTTTTGTTTATTGTTGTAGCATTGTGACCAGCCTCGACTGGACATCTAAGACAAAGAGCTTTATAGCCCATTGGATTCACGGTAGCTAGATGTTATGTCCCTCGCCTGATATACTGGAGGTTGTCAGTTCGATCCCGACTGACGCCTGTATATTTGGAGTTTGCAAATCTCTATCCGTTGTCTCGTAGATTTTTCTGTGGGTCCAACGGTTTTTCCCTCCACATTTAGAAGCATGCGTTTCTACAATTTGGATGCTGTAAATTTCCACATGATAAGCCACTTCGTTGAGCTATCATTTGTTGCCAGGTCGCTTCCGAAAAAGAGCTGCATAGCTCAGTGGGCCTTACCTGGTAAAGTAAAAAATAGTTTTAGGATTCCTCCTCCAGCATAAATACATACTTTGATGATTCTGACGCTTGACGAGTTTGTGTCTTGCCTTCGCCACACCACAGAGACATTGCGGCGAGGAACGTGCTGGTGTCGTCGGCGGACTGCGTGAAGCTCGCCGACTTTGGGCTGTCGCGGCACATGGAGGACGACACCTACTACAAGGGTACGGGGCGAGCGTCCGCACCGCGACCACACCGTGTCTGCACCACGGTTCCTCGCTCTGCACTGTGTGCGCCTCCTTTTCCTTCCCGCGCGTCTGCTGTCGCATGCATCGTTGCATTGGTTGTCTGTGCCAAGATGTTAACTCCCTCGCCTGGTATGCAGGAGGTCGTGGGTTTGATCCCTACCCTGACGCCGGCTGTATATTTCGAGTTTGAATGTTCTCCCCGTGGTCGCAGGAATTTTTCTCTGGAACTCCCTACTTGTTGAGCACCCTACCATTGGATATTGGCCTCTCAGATATTTTGTTGATATATTAAGTGCTGACTAAATGCACATCTGCAATAGCTTTCTTAAAATGTACTTTGTTCCTCTCGGCCCCCTATTTGCCCCACCCGTTGTCTTCTTCATTATCTTTGTCCTTACGCCTTGAAACATTGTGAAAAGGCAGTGAATAAGCGACAACAACGATTATTTGTAACATTAGTATGCCTCCGCGTGCGGCGGGTTGTTGACTGCCTGCTGCCGGCGGGGGATCGCCCGACGGGGTGCCCATTACCCGCCCGGTCAAAGGAGCGCGACTCTGTTGGTGATGAATTGCGAGGTGCAGAGAACCTTCTCCGTTGCAATTTCGGGGTCGTGGCCCACCCTGTCGTTGGGTACGACGCCCGACGTTGAGCTCCGAGGGGGGGGGGGGGGTTGGCACTGAATTCGTTTCCTGAAGTGAAACATCCGATGGCACAGCTGAGCAGGCCTAGTGATTGCGAGAGGCCTCCTGCTGGCTCCTGGTCGATTGCGTGTACGTAAGTAGTACGTCGGGATTGTTAAGTTTAAATATTTTTTTCTTAAAGCGCAATCGATCATCGCACTCGAAAAATCCGATGATTAATTCATCATCGGCGTGCCGAAGATAAAGTTTTAGCCCAATGGTTTTATTTTAATGGATGTATTATTTAACGTTCTGCACTGAGACATTTTGTAAAGTGGTTTGTTTCTCAAGGTCTCCTTTGGGATAAATAAGCTGCTTTTTCAAAATAACGGACTAAAATATTAACACATTTAAAAAATGTTTTCACAGCCTCCAAAGGGAAGTTGCCGATAAAGTGGATGGCCCCTGAATCCATAAATTTCCGAAGGTTCACCTCCGCCAGTGACGTCTGGATGTTCGGTAAGCTGGCATGTTGATCCAATGTAATAACTCGGATTTTTTTTCATTGCTTCATGACTTTCCATGTGTTCCTCAACTGGGAATACTGGCGCCTTAGCCCCTACGTGACTATACGGGACGTCTGTTAAAACCAAGCTGCAGCGTGTACACAATTCTCTGGCGCGTGTTGTGACGGGTACTGCAAGATTCGACCGTGTCCGTCCAGTGCTCGCCGAGCCCCACGTATACATTATAGGGTCGCACTCATTACACAAAGTGCCTGCCACAAATAAACCACAATACCTTGCTGATCTCGTCAAGGAACATAAAACATCACGCGAACTCTGATCATCGTGGCAGTGGCTTTTGGCTAGCCATCGAACTAAGACGGTCACTGCATCACGCGCTTTCAGATTCGCTTCTGTAGCCATCTGGAACGCTCTTCCTTACAATACTTGGAAGCCACTGGAGCTATGCATTTTTAAATCTGCATTGAATTTTTATTTTTAAATGCTTTCTGTGTTTCATCTTGATTTGAAGCTTTCGTGACTGCAGGAATTACTCTTTGGTTCTTTCGGTAAAGTCACGTAGAAAGAAACGTCGTGATCTATTATTTATTTACTTTTTTCTTCCTACGTGACTTTACCAAAAGAACCAAAGAGTAATTTTCTGTGTTTAGTTTGTTGTCCTTTCCCCCGCACATCCGATTAGCACAGTTGGCTACGTTCGGTGCGATAGTATTTCTACATACATACGTACGTGAATAGGCATGACGTTTTAACTCGCAATAAGATGAGTACAAGCTTCGTCGGCCAAAGCCAATCCAGCCGTTGCTGTCATTTGCAGGTGTGTGCATGTGGGAGATCCTCATGTTCGGAGTGAAGCCCTTCCAGGGCGTCAAGAACAACGATATCATCGGGCGCATCGAGAACGGCGAGAGGCTGCCCATGCCTCACAACTGCCCGCCCACTCTCTACAGCATCATGACCAAGTGCTGGTCCTACGACCCCAGCAAGCGGCCGCGCTTCCTCGACCTCAAGCAGCAGCTAAGGTGCGCGGGCGTGCGCGTGTGTGTCGGTCGGTGGGGAGCTGTACTGTAGCGGTTAGCACGCTACGAACCTGGTGACACGAGTTCGATTCCTGCTCATGGCCAACACCGGTGACGATTATCTGAACCGATCCTGGGCCCTCCCCTACGTTGACTAAAATGAGTACCTGGTGCGGTGTGCAAACATCGCCACTGTACACGCACACGTACGTCATCAGATTGGGAAAGGGTAAACAACGATGCTATAACATAGCCTTGCGGTGACGGCGCCACGGTTTGTAACTGACCCACGCTGGCATTCCGTGGACCGCACGCTTGTGGCCTTGCTGGGTGCAGCGACATCTACGAGGATGAGAAGACCCAGCAGGAGGACCGCCAGAAGAGGGATCATCGGCGGATAGCGCCGCCGTGGACAGCCGGAGGGGCCGACGAGGCACCCCCTAAAGTAAGAGCATTTGAACCTCATTTGCCGGCGGCTTTCCTCGCCAGGTCTAGGCTATATTTATTTCTGCAGGGACCATCTTAACCTTTGTCTGTGGAACATCTCCCACGCATGCCTTCGCCGCGTCTTGACTCGGCTGTTGCAGCCCTCTCCTCTGTGGTCTCCCCGACTCCGACGTCGGCCTCCAAACTCCCAAATGATGCAAAATGCAGCCACTTGGCTGTTACCATATTGATCTATGAAACTCATTTTATTTTTATTTTACCAGTTAAGAACCACTGAGCTCTTAGCTCTTTTTCAGAAGCGACCTGGCCACAAATGACAGCTCAACGAAGTGGCTTTTCACGTGGAAATTTATAGCAGCCAAACACTCTAAGTGCATGTTGATTTTAACTGAAGAGGGAAAAACCACAGGACCCGGAGAAAGATCCACCTGACCATAGGGAGAGACACATGCAAACTCCGCACATACAGGCATCAGGGTCAGAATTGAACCCACGACCTCCTGCATACCAGGTGAGGAAGTTAACGTCTCACCACCGTGGCCCCCGTATCCAAGATTACTCTGCCCGAAAACTCAAATCCTTCCACTGGCTCCCAATGCAATCCCAGATAAATATGAAGATTGAACTCACCTTCTTCAAGATTCTCCTCCCTCTCTCCTCTTACTCACTCTACTCCCCTCCACGTACTCTCCACTCAAGCAACCAAGCCTTTAAAACATATTTTTGTAGCCAATTAAATGACGTTCATTTCATGTCTCCAGTCAACCTTCATTCAGTGGGAGATCGTTTATTCTCCTATGCTGCCCCCATTGTCTAAAACTCTTTCCCCGAGCCGTCCGTGTTGTCGACTCCCTGTCCTTGTTTAAATCCAGGCTCAAGACCTACCTTTTTTCCTCTCCGTGTGACGGGCTGCCTGTCTCCCGCGTGGGCCCATCACAATATCAAAGTCATTACTGTATGGAGATATTTTCTTGAAATATATATATTTTTTTATGTTTTTCCGCGTATGACTAGGTGAAGTGTTGTTTGCATTTGGGAGCTGATCGATGGGAAATCAAAAAACAATTGCAGCAAACACAGCAGCCTCCACACTCTTGACTTTTGTGGAAATGCCTATTTTCCCCCCCAGCTATTTTCGGCTTTCAAAAGTCAAGTGTCTGTTTTTGTACGACGCATATCTGTGTATTTACACTTGAGCAGTTTCCATCAATTCTCCCAGCGTCTAGCAGCCACTCTCTAGTAATATTTTTTTAAACCTATTTTATTTTGCCAGGTATGGCCCCACTGAGCGATCTAACTCTTTTTCACAAGCCACCCTTGGCCACAACTGATAGCTCAACGATGTGGAAATATTTATAGCGGCCAAATATCATGAACGCATGTTGATTCTAAATGCGGAAGGAACAACCGGAGGGCTCGGAGAAAATCCACATGACCACGGGGAGAGAGACATGACAACTCCAAATATACAAGTGTCAGGGTCGGGATCAGACCCACTATCCTGTATACCAGGCAAGGGAGATTATATCTCGTCACTGTGTAGCCCCTAGTTGTCACGGACTACCAATTCATTAATTATAGCGACTGTTTAATGTTCATGCCTCGAGCTGTAAACACGAGCAAACATTTTTTTTGTTGGTTTTATAAGTGAGTGGGCGAGTGAATGAATGAATGAACGCTTTACATTTCCAGCCAAGCAGACCGGCGTTTCCAGGAGGTCGAGTGGTGGACATGTCCCACGGGAGCCCAGTGCACCCCCACATGAACCATCACCAGGTACGCTCGCTCACGGTCACGATTGGAATATAAATGTAAAGAAAATGTGAACGTGGTCTTCGGGGCCTAAGCCGCGTGACGGGCAATTGAATTTCTCAAGCTTTCGCCACACACAACTACGTGCATATTTTGACTCGAGCGGTTCATTTGACCTGTGGTGAAATTATCGATGAGGTTGTTGTTGTTGGCCTGTAACTTCCCAATCCCGGGAAATGGCCTCTCCTGTTTTCTTCCGTTGCTTCCTCTCCTTCGTTGTTCTTGTTCAGTCGCGGCCTCCGAATTCTCTAGTTTCATCTCGCTTCCGTCTCTTACCACGTCTTCCTCTGCCTTCTGTCGCTATGTTATCCTTTGTCAAATTGATTTTTTTCTCTGTGGTTTAGGCGATGAGTTTAAGCAGAAGAGGACTCTTCGCCACCCCCCCCCCCCAACTAATGAGTCAACCCAGACCTTGAATTGTATCGAGGGTCTAAACATTAAATGATGTTCAGCTGTTTTTTCAAGCTGAAGATGCCTGTAATGGTGCGCGTTTGATAACCCCATAGTCCACGTGTGACGATTATAATCCCGTGCGTTTACGCCTCTGGGAAATCATGGTGTGGAAGCTGACCATAGTTGTTTATCAGCAGTAGCAGCCCCTCCTTGATGCGCAAACTCCTGCAGCAGATTGCGCACTTCAATTGGCGGTCGACGTTCGGAGTGGACTGCAACCCTCAAAGGAATGGCGCCACCCCCGTGATCCGTGGATCAAACAAATTACTCGAGATGCCGGGGTATGGCAGCAAGAGCGATTTACGTGAATGCTGTCGCAAGAGGTTACACGCTTGACGCAACGGTCCTTGGCCGACTGTGCTTGATGAATGAACAGCAGCAGCAGCAGCTTGCAAAATCTGTTGATCCCGTAGGCGGTGGGATCCTCGGTGGCGATGCCAGCTGTGGCGGGGCCCATCTACCAGAGCACGGGTCCCCTGAGTGACACCTGGATCCAGCCACACTCGGGCGAGCTCTCGCCTGCACGCCCCATCAGCAGCGAGGTGTGTTCTGGTGCCAGCGAACGTGGGGTGGGGGGCGGGGGTTGTTTGGCGAAGGAAGACACGGCAACAAAAATACGAACGGCTCTTACATGCTTAACTACGTAATAATTGTGGACTTGTCCTTAGAGGGAATATAAGTAACAAAATAAATAAGCAGGCATCACCGCCGTTTTCCCATATTTGTCTCTGCATGTAAAAGTATTTATTGTGCACCGCATCATTCCACCCAGCCCCCGGGCAGTGAATCCTGTCACCTGCGTTTGTTTACTTTGGTAAGTGAGTGATTTTGGGAGCTTCACAGCAAACACAGATGCACATATTGAGCAGCGTCCAGCTCAGTGCCCAGCTCTCCGATGTGTTTTCGAGTTGCGGGTGTTTGGCACGACTTCCCGACGTTTTGCTCGTCGCTTCTGGCAGCTTCTTCCGAAATTTCGGACATCGTGGCGAACAAAACTCTGCGCTACCCCAACAAAAACATGTCGGGATAGCCATGCAGCACAACCGCGGAAATCTACGAGGCGCCTAATATTGAGCAACGTATTTTCTCTACCGGTAGTCCTACGACGGACCGGAGCATGCTCGCCGGGTCATGGAGCTGGAGCAAGCGCTGCTGGAGCAACGGCTGCATCAGCAGCAGCAGGATATGGTTGCCGACGAGAAGTGGCTGGAGAATGAGGAACGACTTCTGGTACAAACTCTGTCCTGCTTCGCTCGAATGCATGGTTGCATGAGCAAAATCTTTTGGGGGCCAGGGATGTTTGGTGCGCATTGGTTATCGACTTAGGATGTTATCTTCTAAATTAGACATCCCATTGTTGCAAGGGGCACCACGGTGGCGAGATGTTAACTACCTCGCCTGGTATACAGGAGATCGTAGGCTCGACCCTGAAGCCTGCTGTATATTTGGAGTTTGCATGTACTCCCCGTGGTCGCGTGGATTTTTCTACGAGTCCTCTGGTTTTTTCCCTCCACATTTAGAATCCATGTGCGTTCAGAGTATTTGGTTGGTATAAATTTCCACGTGATAAGTCACTTCGTTGTGCAATAATTTGTGGCCAGGTCGCTTCTGAACAAGAGCTGTCAGTGGGCGGTTACCTGGTAAATAAAACATAGTTTAGTTTAACAATGGGTCAGCTCCTCAGATTTTCTTCCTCCGCATGCTTCTATTCTGCGCCTCTTCGCGAGTCACGTCCACTGTCCTCGTATCTCGTTCCACCGCGTCCTCCCCCCTCACCCTCGGTCTCCCTCTGCTCCCTGAGCTCTGTACCAGTGTCATCTCCATTGCCCTTCTCGTTGTACCTTGTTTGTAGTTTCTCAACAAATTCCCGCACCATCTAAGTCCAGCCTCCCCTAACCTTCTTGAGAATGGTAATAATTCCCGTTAAGGCTGGATGTTATCTTAAGTCTAATTATACTCCAAACCCAAGGCTAAAGCACATCCTTGTCTGGATACTGGCTATTTATAGGTTGAGTGCAATGCCATGCAGACTTCTCTATTTGCTGGGTGTCAGGCTTTTCTAGAGACTGCAGTAATACATTCTGTTCAGCACTGTAGCTTATGATTCTCGACGAGAAACGAGTGTGAGTTTAACACGTAGGCTTTCGCGACAAAATATTATTCATAATGAACGTTTTTGGGTTAGATCGCGTTATTTATAAATGTGTCGTAACCCTCCACCACCCGACACGGCCAATCAGCAAAAAAGTGTCACGTTGACAAAAGACAAATAGTTTACTACTTTAGCCCACCAGTGTGAGGAAGAGTGAAACCACAACATTTACAATTTTTTGAGTACGACGTTTCGCTGGTAATTGCATCCAGCATCATCGGGCAATTCGCCAGAATGGTGAGGCTCTGCTCTTGCTCCCGGTCTTAAATAGAGCAGCAGCAGCAGGGTGACGTCATCATTTAGCTCATCAGGTGCAAACGAGTGTGAGCTGGACTGGAATTTCCCCCTTCCTCTTGTAGAGAGTCTGTAGTTAAACCCAAACATTGTTATTTAAGTTTTGTGGCAGTTCCTTTTTTTACACTTTTCAACTAAGCTCAAAAGCATTAGCTCTGTCCGTCTGCCTTTAACTTTGGGGCGTGGTAACGCACGTAATGGTGATCCAATAAGAACGGCGCTCGTTTGCGTAAAGTTACATTGCACTTAGGGGACCGACCGTGTCGAGAAATCCGGCGATATCGACTCAAGGCGTTTCCCACGCCTCCCCGGCAGAGCCCCCGCTATCCGAGCCTTGCCATCTCGTCGTGGCCTCCAGACGCGCTGCCTCCTTGCGGGGCCTCGCGCGACAGCAAGCGTCGTTGCTAGCGGTTACATTCTGCCCTGGACGAACACACGTTGGAAAGTGTTACAGAATCCATGCGCACGCATGGTTTTTCTTTCTCGTTAAATCAAGATTTTCTTTCTCCAGAAACCAGATCACTGGACGTCCCGGAACAGTGACGGCCTTCACGACAGCGGATATCGCGGAATGGTGCTGTGACCTGACCTGACCCTAAACAATCACCCAGTGCAGTCAACTCCCGGTTTACCCGCGGATTATATCCGGGTTGCGGATTAATCGTGTTTGCGACAAAAAAATGTAATGTTCACGTGCCGGTTTTGTTGTTAGCCGCTCCTCACTCGTCGGGGATCAATGGCCCGATGCGCACTTAGCTACCCAGATCGAGCGAGCAAACCGATTACTCTAAGAAACAATAAGAACATTCGGCAAAACTGTCTTCCCATCCCCCCCATTCTACGGAGGTAAATGGTTTAAATATTGTTTGACACCCTAAAATTACGCATGTTTTGGCTTTCATCCGTGTTTTAGTTGGGCCACCCCCCTCCTCCTTGTTACCCCGAACAATCGGGCTGTAAATTCATTTTCAACCTTATTTTATTTTGCTCTCTCTGCTATGAAGAACGGCCGTTGCTCCAAACATCGGCTATTGTTATATATTTTCCTCTTTAGGGCAGCGTTATTGACTGAACGTGTCAAGGTTCTGTTATTTATGCTCGTGCATGACCGCCGACGCAGTTTCACACCTATCTTTTTTCTTGTGTTGGGTTTTAAATGCTTTGTTTATATTTCACCGATTCATCGTTTCGAACGTATGCTTTGCAACAGAGCTCCGAACACCAACCCGTCTATCAGCCAGTGGGAAAACCCGGTGAGTGGTTCATTTGTCACGCATCCGGTTTAATTTCTGAACAGTTTTACAAGGGTGAAGTTCTCAAAACTCGACAGTTTCTACGTTTATCAATGTGTGTTATATTCCTTGATGGGTTCACAGTAATTATACAATATTGGCACAAGTTGCTAAAAAAAACCTCGGGCATTGGCTTATTTAATGGCCACATTGAAATATACAATTTCCACGAAATTCACTTAACGTTTGTACAATTAAACCCCTCGGTAATTGGTTCCACGAAAACGGTCATTACGTGATTTGGTCGTTTTGCAATTCATGTTTCCACTTCAAAAGCGCAGCATACACTGAATGGAAACAATGCCCCAAACGCTCATGAATAGATGTCGCTGATTGGACGAGGCCTGGTCATACCACTTTGTAGCTCGCCGATTGGCCGAAAATGTCGGTCGCGTGCTCGTCGTGAGCCCGTCGTTAACAGGGGAATGGTCGGGAAGCGAACACATTGCGCTCTATGGAGGCCCGTCGTTAAGCGATTAGTTGTTAACAGGGGTGGTCATTAAGAGGGGTTCTACTGCAATGTGTAAAGATCCCTCGAGGTGTGTAACGTGCGTTGCCGTCGGTGCCCCGCCGTGTATTCGGCCGACGGTTGGGGTCGACAGGAGCCTTCTGATTTAAGACCGGACATCTGAGTTTTAAAGAGCTTAGCAGCTCGTCGGATTCCTGCAGTCTTAAATAAAGATGCTGATTCTGAGATGAAGCGAGGTGAACGTGAATGTGGCTCGCCGAGTGTGAAACCTTGCCTTCCCTTGGTCGACCATGTCAGAACCGCCGGCGCCGCCCAGGAAGCCGCCTCGCCCGGGCGCCCCGACCCAGCCGCCCGGCTTACCCGCCATGGTGACCGCCGCCCCCGAAGCCCAGAACGGGGGCCCTAAGGTGAGGGGTGGGGGGCCCTACCCTTGGCACCACGTGCTCAAATCCCAGCTGCACTCAGTTGAGGATGACAACGGCCTGCCTGACAGTCTCGGTTACAGAGAAGGGATTTGCATTTGAATGGAAAACGTGTTTAAATTCCTCGGCCTAACATCTCGACCATACCAATGCTGCCCTGCTGCAGTCTCTGGCCTAGGGGTACTACCAGTGGCAGCTGTCTCAATGTGGCACAAAGGTGTACTCAGCACCAGCTTGAAAATGGGCATTAATCTGCCAGTAGGGGTCGATGTTGCTACGTGGTGTTTTTCATTGAAGCAATTTGCGAGTTATCGATCAAATCTGGACCGTGTCACCTATCATACATGGCCTTCTTCTTTTCAAATGATGCCACGGGATCAGTAACCTCTGCTGCGTAGCAGACGGCGTGAACTCCTGCAACACGCAGCAAGCATGCGACGGCCCGGCCACGTCACCGCAGCGCGTGCCATGGGCCTTTCATCATCATCAGCCCCATCCACTACTGGGCGAAATTCCTTCCCACGCCATCACAATCGCTCACGGTCCCAGCGCTGCTACCATCCATCTCCGGCACGTGAAGTGATCCAATTCCTCTCCCTCCCTTAGCCGCCGCCACCCCTGGTGTCACCCCATTCTCATCCATCGGCCGTCGTTCCCCCTCCAGCGAAGTGTCCCCCGCCCTAGCCCAGTTGCCTAGTTGTCAATGTCACGTCTTTGATTTGCGCTTGTTCCCAGAGCACGGTGACTCTATTGGTTATCAATCGCGAGGTCCTCCCGATGGATTTCGCTCGAGCTGTGCGTGCGGTACACGAGGCCGGTTTGTTCCCGTGCCTTCCTGTGCTCACAAGGGCTGCGACAAATGAAGTAATTTCATCAATTTGAAGTAATTGATTCAAGAGCCAATCTTCACTGTTCAGTCTATAGTGCCGCCCCCCACCTACGCTCCCCTCCATCAAAGCGGTGGGCGAGAAATAATTATTTTGTCTGTCGACAAGCATCCTAATTTCACGAAACATTTTTATGCTGGCAGCAATTCATCTGGGATTGACTTTAAGGTTAAGAGGCCAACAGTGCGAGTTGCGGGTGCTGTCTCCGAATATATTTCCTTGTAATATTCTCGTGAACTCTGACCTACCTCATGAAAATTTCAACATTATTCCAGTGCCACAATCAAATTCAATTTGGATTTTTTTTTTTATTAAAAAGTGCAAACATCCCCCCCATAATTGTTACCAAGAACATAGAGGTTTTTAAAATGTTGTCTTTTTGAGTGTTGTCTGCTAAGGCACAATTCTGCACACGAACACACACGTGCACACACACAATGTCCCTATTCCTTGGGTTTGCATTTACCCTAGTGTGGCTTCACATCTGAAAATAGCTTTGGGTTTCACGAGTGGTTTGTCTTACAAGGCATTTGGCATCACTTAATGAAATTACTTGGAATTGATGTGGGAGACTTGGTCTTCCAAATGTTGCAGGCTCGCAGACGTTGCGGCTGCCGTGCAGGCCTCTCGACAAATCATCTGCAGAAACTTTTTGGTCAATTATTCCTCTCCGATGTGTTTTTATGGTTGTACGCTGTCATGTCCGTTTAGCTCCCGAGCTTCTTCGAACGGCACGCGGTACAAACCAAACTTAGACGGCGGCAGAGCCGTAGAGCTCAAACGCAAAAACCCATGTGGTGAAAAAAAAAAGAAATCCCGTTGGTTGCGGCTTGCTGTTCCCTTTTTGCGCTTCATCAGTTGTTGAGATTTTGGTTCGCAAAATCGCTTGGCATTGGATGCTCGACAGATCAGAACAAGATTGGCAATTGCTTTCGGAAAATTCTTTCACACTTGTGTAAATTCAAGGTGCACAGACACGAACGACAATTTATGCAGAATGGCAGAAGTTGATATGACACGGCAGCAGGGTCTTGTAAACTGGGATGTAAAGTATGTAGGTTTGCTTTCATGCAAATCATTTCGTAATGAAATGTGAATGTTTGCAAAAGGACATTCCGAACAAATGAATTATTTTTACCCTTTGCATGAGCATTATGTTTTAATTGCTTTTCTAATCCAACATTTGCTATTTTACAATGCATGTCATCAGCTATGCTCCGTGCTCTCTGTCCGGGTGGTTACGTTTACTGGGCTAACGCTCAAACATGCCGACCTTCTAATGACGTCCACCTGCATCTGTCGCCGTTGAATCGAGCTTGTTTTTCCCGTGTTTGTGCAAATTTTACGCAAATGCCTCTGTCTGCCCGTGACTAATGTTAAATTATATTTTCTTTTATTTTGCTCTGTGCCGCTGCTACCGATATCTGCGTGCCTACCAGCTCTGGAGGGTAAGCCGAGAGCCGTGTGTTGCTGTGCGCTGCTTTGTCCCGACGTGGCCTTTTCATTGTTGCGTGTCATTTTGACCTTGCTCCTATTTTTGAGCTTTTTAGCAATAGTTGTGCATGCTTATCGCTCTTATAGAGACTAACAGTCGCTTTTATGTTTTGATGCAGCATGTTATTTCCAACCTGCATAGCCCACGTGCTTGCTCTTCCCCTAGCTGTTGAATATGAATACAATAAAAAACGTCAGACAAATCATGCGTAAGCATGGATTATATCTACCGTTCCCAACGTGCATTAGTTTAAGTCGTGTGCTTCTATCGGAAGCCGCCGTTAGACTTCTTAACCACCAGTGGAATGTAAGAATGTGTTACTCGTGTAATAAAGGACTCGACCACGATGTCTGGCTTGGTGTCCTTTATTCGGTTCTTCTCTCTTAACCCGCACGGCTGTCCTTCTATAAGACTCTATACTGACACTGATACTGCTCTCCTGCAGTTTCTCCCCTCGTCGTTCTCTCAGCCTCTCTCTCCTCTCGTCGCTCTCGTAGCCTCTCCCTCACACACAGCCTCGCCGGCTGTGTTCCCCCGCAGCTCCTCGTCCGCCTTCTCTCCAGCCGCCCCACCGCTGTCTTCTCTCGCAGCTCCGCTGGCTGCTCCCTTAGCTGGCCACCGCTGGCCGCCGCTGCCACCCCTTGGCTTTGCCCACGTGGCCTTACTCTGGTCCAGTCCCACTCGTTCTGCCTTCCTCTTCCGGTCTCCTCCCTTAAGAACCTTAACCTTTCCTCCCACGTCACCTAACTCCACCTCTCCGTGACGTCACATCCGGGAGGTCGCCCGCGCCCGCATTACACCACCCTCCCCCGTGGAGAAAAACCCAGCCGACCTCGGCTGAACAACACCAACAGTAATGCGGGCGAACCCGAGCGTAACACACCAAAGGACACCAAGCATGCAATATAACAGTAAGAACAATCAACACAACTCAACAATCAATAACGTAGCAGAAGCAGGCAATAAATACACAGTAAGAACAATACAACATAACAATCAACGAAACACAAGGGATTTAGAGCGTGTGCGGGTCGCCGGCCCGTCCCGGACGGTCGGCGGCCCATCCGCGGAACGGGAACGTGATTGAGTTTGAGGAGCGACAGGGTGAAATCCCCCTGTCGCTGTTGGAAGTCCACCAACGTCCCGTGTCCTTGAAGGATCAGTTTTGGGCTTGTCCCGCGGATGCGTCTGCAGCGGGGTCGGAAGGGCTGCAGGGCTCGAAGGACCCGCAGATCTGGCAGGCACCCTCCGAGCAGAGCGCCTCGTCCCCTCCGGTGTCAAGGCCGGCCTGCCTGGAACAGGTACGACAGGCGCTCTAGCAAGATCAATGGACGCAGGCGGGGGAGAGTCGGCAGCAACAGACCCCGGCAAGGCAACATTGGGAGATGATGCATCATGTAGGGGAGCAACATACGGTTTCAAGCGCGACGTGTGAACAAACCAGCGGCGAGAACCAATTTGAACACGCGCCGACTGAGGATTAGGAACCTCAATGAGGCGGACAGGCCCTCGCCAAGGTTTGTGAAATTTGGGAGAGGTACCCGGCCGCACCTGCGGGCAATGGAGCCAGGCCAGGTCCCCAACCTTCCAGGGGCACTCCCCTTTGGAACGCCGTGCGTACCTCTCATTTCGGGCCTGAGCTTTGGCCGTAGCCACACGGGCACTCTCCCGCGCCTCCGAGACCCGGCGAACAGTGTCCCGAATGTAGTCAGGAAGCGGTTTACAAGGTCCCCTCACACCGGTTCCCATCTGCACATCCATTGGCGGCACGTTTTCCCGACCATACATAAGGTAAAATGGCGAATAACCCGTAGCCGCATGAGGAGTCATCCTGTACGCCGAAAGCACCCCCGGGATGTGCAGGTCCCAATCCGATTGTTGCTCACTCACCGTGTGGCACAGCATGGCAGACAATGTCCGGTTTAGCCGCTCAACCATACCATCCGTTTGCGGATGGTATGGGGATGTCCGGACCTTCTTAGTCCCTAGGCCCGCGCATACTTCCGCCAATAATTTCGAAGAAAAATTTCGGCCCTGATCCGTAAGGAGTCTCTCCGGCGCACCCTTGTCCATAACATATCCGAACAAAAAGGCGTCGGTAATGGCCGCGGCCGATTGATCGGGCAACGGCCAGGCCATCGGCCAACGGGAGAGGTACTCAACCCCGACCAGCAAATATTTATTACCCCTCGCCGAAGGTGGGAAAGGTCCCAAAATGTCCAGTGCCACCAATTCATTGACCCGAGACACCCGAATTGACTGTAAGGGTGGCACATAAGGATGTTTAGGAGGCTTACGCCGGGCACAGTCAGGGCACGCGCGGACGTGCCCCACGACATCCGTCGACATGCCGTGCCAAAAATAATGACGTTGCAACGTCAACAAGGTCTTCTGCACACCCAGATGTAATAGCGTGTCACAATGGAGAGTTCTAATCAACTCGTATCGGAGGGACGCAGGCACCACTAGACGCCAGTGTTCCTGGAGACTTTCCCTCCACATAAGCAGACCATCTCGGACCGCGGTTTCCGGCGCACCCTCCGTAACCGGACCCCCAACCTCCACTTTGGATCGCTTCCGCAAGGACACTAACGACTCATCCATCATTTGCTCCCTTATCCAAACAGACCGTGGCAGATTCAAAACCCCATCAGTCGGCCCCGGTTCCACAGTAGCATCCGACTTCTCCACAGCCAATACCACCGGCTGAGGGGGGGGTAGGCTGGGCGCACATCTCTGCGTCCCCGACGCACATTTGCAAGGGGAGCGCTGCGGCAACCTAGAAAGTGCGTCTGCGTTCGCATGGCGCACCCCTTTACGATGGTGAATTTGAAATGAAAATTCTTGCAGCGTGTCCAACCAACGCGACAGCTGGCCGGAAGGTTGATCCATTTTAAGGGCATATTGCAAGGCCGCATGATCCGTACGTACGATAAAGGAACGGCCGTACAGGTACGGTCGAAACTGACGTAGGAAAAAAACAACGGCTAAGAGTTCCCTGCGAGTGACACAGTAGCGTGTTTCCGCGGGCGACAGGACCCGGCTACCATACGCAACGACGCGCTCTACGCCCCCTTTAGACTGAGACAACACCGCGCCAATACCTGTGTCGCTCGCATCCGTATCAAGAATGAACGGTTGATTGAAATCCGGATAATCCAATGTTGGGGCGGTAGCCAACAGATTACGCAGACTCTGAAAGGCCGCCTCTTCCGGCGGTCCCCACGCAAACTTACGTCCCTTACCCGTAAGGAGGTGCAAGGGCCTCGCGATGGTCGCAAAATTCGGTACAAATCTTCGATAATACGAGGCAAATCCCAGAAAGCGACGTACATCCCCCACGGTGACCGGAGTCGGCCAATCTCGGACGCACGCCGTTTTTTCCGGGTCCGTAGACACCCCCTCAGCACTCACGATGTGCCCCAAATAACGGACGGACCGTTGCAGTAGGTGACATTTCTTTGGTTTAAATTTCAAGTTCGCGGAGCGCATCCTCGCGAACACCGTCTCCAGCCGCCTTAAATGTTCATCAAATGTGCGGCTGAAGACGATGATATCGTCCAAATATATGAGACATGTCTCCCACTGCAACCCCGTCAAAACGAGTTCCATGAGCCTTTGAAATGTGGCAGGGGCCGCATTCAGCCCCATCGGCAGGCAGTTAAATTGAAACAACCCCTGCGGCGTACGGAATGCGGTCTTCTCCCGTGAGGGCTCGTCAAGGGGAAGCTGCCAAAATCCCGAAGAGAGGTCCAGTGTAGAGAAATACTTAGCCCCCGACAATGCGTCGAGGGAGTCGTCCATACGCGGCAGGGGATACGCATCTGCCACCGATATCTTATTCAATTTTCGAAAGTCAACACAGAATCGCAATTTGCCATCCTTTTTCTTAACCAAAACCACAGGCGCGCCCCATGGGCTGTTCGACGGCGATATAATATCCGCAGCCAACATATCCTCCACTGCCCCCCGAACGTGTTCTCGCTCGGCCGGACTCATTCGGTGCGAATTCAACCGAATAGGGGCAGCGTCGCCTGTAGCAATGTGATGGTGAAGCAATGAGGTGCGTCCCAAATCCAAATCATTGGAGCTAAACACATCGGAATACGTCAATAACAATTTATGAAGCGCACCCCGTTGATCCACAGACAGGGAAGAATTTCCGTCACATAAGCTAGCAATCCAGCGGTCATCCGAAGCCACAGGCTCGGAAACACCAGCAACCACTCCCTGGCTATGCGAACAATCGTGAGCCGTAAATGCCGTGGTGGCATGTGCCACAACCGTGCCGGCTGGGACACAGACATTTTCCGTACCCGCATTGAGCACCTGCAAAAACGGTAATTGATCTGGCCGGACGATGGTCTGCGCTCCGACCAGCGCCGATCCGGCCGTTATCGAGGCTGAAGGTGACAACAAGATCCCAACCGCTCCCAGCCGACCAGGCAGGGGCTTCCGATACCGCAGGGGAATAAGCATCTGTGAACCAGGTGGAATATCAACAGATGCCACGGATAGCGCCTGCACTTGTACGGCCGAAGCAGGTCGCCCCCAGGGCGACGGCAGAAACGAAATTTGACGGCCACCCGGCAGTTCAATACAATTCTCATTAATTTTGATCAAAATAGGCATCTTAGCCAGAAAATCAGTGCCCAATAAACAGGGAACTGCCAAGGATCTTGAAATCAACACAACGCCCGAGGCCGACACATCCCCAATAGATATTTTAGCGTCCACCTGGCCCACGATGCCCATACTACCCCCGTTCGCAGCGACGCACGACCCGTAAACCGGACGCACGGCCCCGGGTGGGATGCCTAACAGATGAAAAATGACATCCGAAATAATAGTCGCGGACGCCCCGGAATCGACCAAAATGCGCACGTCCACCCCTTGTATAGACCCCGGCACGGTGGACGAACCCGTAGCGGCCGCAACAACCCTCCGTGCCAATTTGCGCCACTGCGTCACAGAGCGACAAGGCCCCGTCGAAGGTCCCTCTTTAACAACAACACTATGACCGCACAACGAAGGTGATGGGTGAGGTGTAAAGCCTTGCCGGGTGTCTGGTGCGTGCCGACTTGCCTGTTTCGGTGGATCCTTGGGCGGCTTGGCCGGTAATGAGGCCTCCTGTTGTGGCGGACCCGGGATGCGGGCCCAGCAGTCCTTCGCGTAGTGGCCCTTCCGTCTGCAGCGGAAGCAATCGGCGTCGTTGCGCCGAAGCGCAGGCCTTGCATCGCGCCGCCCGCGTATCGGCGGTGCAGCACGAGAGGCCGGTCCACCGCGGCCTGACCATGGCACCGAGGCGGCCGTCAGCTCCTGAGGGCCCCGCTCATCCGGCACGTATACCGACTTCGTAGGGTCCCAACCCAGAGCGCCACCCTCCGCGACGGGCCCCCCTGTCCACGCCGTGACCTGTTTCCATCGTCGTAGGTTGAATTGTGCATCCAGACATTTCGCCGCCGCCCGGGAGGTGAGCTTCTCATGCCCGCACACCGGCATGGGAATCCCAAGATCCCGCGACAGCTCGAGCATCTTGCCCAAGATGAGAGGCTCGAGCAGGTCAGGTGTTGTATCTGGATACGCGGCCATAGCCAAATCAAGCACTGCACCCCTGTACGCCACAGGCGACTCCTCGGGCGCTCGTTGTCGTTGAGCGAATCGCCGATGCGCGTCGTCAGGTGGCTCGTAGGCGTCGGCCATTTCTTGAAAAACTCCATATAATGTCCTCTTCTTCTCGGCCTTAATGGAGCGAAAAAAACGAACAGATTCGTCGTCCAGAAGAGTCGGCAACACTTCCAAGGCCTCAGCATCGGTCCATCTCGCAGAACGGACCGCCGCTAAAAATCTGCAGGCGAAAGCGCTCCAGTCGCCCCCAATGGCGAATTCCTTGACCGTGGTGAGATGGCGACTCCGACTTCGCTTCACTCCGCCCTCCGCCGATGGTTCCTCCGGAGGCAAATTCAAAATGGCGTCGAATCGCGGCGTGGTCAAGATGGCGGATTCCCGCCGCGGCACGCGCAAGATGGCGGCCTCCTGCCGCGTGGCCCATGGCGCCGGGAGTGAAGAACCCGTGGCGGCCTGTGGAGCACTCTCCGCTCTCTCCGTCGCCGTGCTTGGGGTGACGAGATGACACAATTGGCCCAGGGCGTCCTTGAGAGTCTCCAGTTGCTCAGCCACCTGCAGCCATCGCCGATCAGCGTCTGATGGTGTCGGCGGCCCTGACACTGTGGCTACATCTTCCACTCCCGTCCCCGCACTCGTTTCAGCAGGGCTCTCCTCCACCACCCTGGCAGGATCCATGTTTGGAGGGAAGTCTTCGTCTTCGGACGAAGAAGCCGATGCCGGCGCTGGAACATTTTTCTTTCTCACTTGTTTCGACATGCCGTTGCACTTCCGACACCAATGTAATAAAGGACTCGACCACGATGTCTGGCTTGGTGTCCTTTATTCGGTTCTTCTCTCTTAACCCGCACGGCTGTCCTTCTATAAGACTCTATACTGACACTGATACTGCTCTCCTGCAGTTTCTCCCCTCGTCGTTCTCTCAGCCTCTCTCTCCTCTCGTCGCTCTCGTAGCCTCTCCCTCACACACAGCCTCGCCGGCTGTGTTCCCCCGCAGCTCCTCGTCCGCCTTCTCTCCAGCCGCCCCACCGCTGTCTTCTCTCGCAGCTCCGCTGGCTGCTCCCTTAGCTGGCCACCGCTGGCCGCCGCTGCCACCCCTTGGCTTTGCCCACGTGGCCTTACTCTGGTCCAGTCCCACTCGTTCTGCCTTCCTCTTCCGGTCTCCTCCCTTAAGAACCTTAACCTTTCCTCCCACGTCACCTAACTCCACCTCTCCGTGACGTCACATCCGGGAGGTCGCCCGCGCCCGCATTACACTCGTATGAGAACTGTGCTTATACAAGGTGTCATATCCAACTTTCACTGTATTTAATCAGTTGGTGCCCACCCCCTCCCCATAACGGACAGAGAGATGACAGACAGCCTAATGCATAAATACTCTCAACCCTAGTTGGAAAACATTGAATAACATAGACGAATAGGCGTTACATACTAACGTGGACATTACGCAGAGCTCGTGGCGTGATTTCCTTCTTGTCACGCATTCACGAGGAGTTGAGTTGCCCCCCTCCACCCCCTGCACTGCCCCCCCGTGCCCCCCACCAGAGTTACAATCGAAACGTCGTGCGTGTGTGACTCAGACCCCCCCACAAGAGATCACCCCGCCCCCCACGGCCGACCTGGACCGCACCAACGACAAGGTGTACGAGAACGTGACGGCCCTCGTCAAGGCCGTGCTTGAGATGTCGGCCAAGATCCAGCCCGCCGCGCCCGACGAGTACGTCGCCATGGTCAAGGTGAGGGCGCCGACTCGCCACGAACGCACCCGGCGGTGCGGTGCGTGCGCGCTGCTTGTGGTGTGCCGCTGTCGTGCGGCGGGACTCGGGCGCGAGCGTCGCGCCGCGAGTGACTGTGTCGCCGCTCTCTCCGCAGGACGTGGGCCTGTCGCTGAGGACCCTGCTCGCCAGCGTGGACGAGGCGATCCCCACGCTCCCGTCCTCGTCTCACAGAGAGGTGCGTGCCGTGACCGCCTTCTGATTTGCAAAGTTGGCGGGGTGCCCTGTGAACCCCAGTGACTTGAATCCGGAGACTTGAGTTTGATGCACAGCCTAGGCCAACATCGGTGGTGAATGATATCTGAATCGGTCCTAGCCTCCTCCCCCCACCTCCAATCCCCCCCTCCCCCCTTCACCAACCTGCACTGACCAGCGTGGTGAAGTATGGTCAAACAACTGCTAGGACCGACACGACGTGGGAAGGCATTCGTCCAGCAGTGGATTGACAAAGGACCGTAAATATGTATAGTTACCCTGACCATTCTGCTTACAGTCTGTCTCGGATGACACGATGATGTCCACGTGCTTACCAACAGATTTTGAAAAGCATTGGTGGTAGCGGAGACTTGAGTGGGAACCGGCAGTGCGGTGGTTCGCGCACTGCGGTCCAATCCCACCAATGGCTATGCTTATCAGTCCATGGCTTTGTGATATCTGAATGTTTTCTTTGGCCTTCATTAGGTCGTTTCGAGTATTTTAGAGTAATTTGGCTGCAATACATTGGCACGTGATGATAAGCCATTTCGTTGAGCTATCATTTGTGGCCAGGTCGCTTCTAAAAAGAGCTACATAGCTCAGTGGGCCTTACTTGATACAATAAAAAAAAATTTGTTTAGGTCCGTTCAGCCTGAAAATTAGTACCTGGAACGGTATATGAACATCCGCCCCACGAGTTGCTCGATAACAGCACTTGCCCTGTGGTCGATGAGGAAAACCGGGGAGCCCTGTGTTGCACGAGTGACGAGTTGGATTCAGGTCATTGGCTTTTAAGTCGTTCAACACTTGTTGCAGTGGCTGTGGTGGGAGCTTCCTTGGCTTGGCCCATGTGGCTCATGATTTTATATATATATCATGATTGCCTAGCATAGACCCACATGCCCATATCGCCAAGCAATCAGCAACAATGTATGGTACGTATGTTGAACTTCTTTCGCACCGTATGCAGCCAACCGTGCTAGCGGGAGGTGTGAGACAACACGAGTGAATGCATAATAGATAAGAGTTAATACTTGTCTTGAAATCGAGGTGTAAGGGTGGTGTGTTGCCGCCCATGCCGGGGATGCGCAGGTGGAGATGGCGCAGAAGGTGCTCAACTCGGACCTGGCCGAGCTAATCGGCAAGATGAAGCTGGCGCAGCAGTACGCCATGACCACGCTGCAGCACGACTACAAGAAGCACATGCTCACCGCCGCGCACGCGCTCGCCATGGACGCCAAGAGCCTCCTGGATGTCGTGGACCAGGCGCGCATCCGCCTCATGGCGCCGGTCGCACCCGCCGGGGGCGCCCGCTGGTGATGGCCCCGGGCTCGCCCGGCCGACACCCTCCCCCCGCCGAGACTCTGCCCTCTCGGCGATCCACGCAAGAGCGCCGGTTTGAAAACTTCCTCGGCTGGCATCGCCAATCCGCATATCTATCAAGGGCCCCACACCCCCCCCCCCCCCGTCCACCACCAACGCGGAGGCAAATTTTTAATTTTTAGAACAATCGATTTCTTGTCCGTCACTCATTTCTGCCGCGGAGTCGTACGAGCGAGTCGTCGGGCGGTTCGCGGCTGTCGGCTGGTGCGCCCAGGGGTCGCCACCGGTCCAGGTATTGCGCCGGCAAAGTGCCGCCGATTCGGTTGCAGTGACGGTGACCGTTACGTGCTGCCGACCCGCGGGGGGCGGTTGCCTGCCTGGCCCTTGGGGGGCGGGGGGTGGGTGGACGATGACCCCCCCAAACTTTTGCTGCAACCGTACCAAAAAAAAAGTAACGACCGGCTTGTGACGCGCGGACGTTGTCGTTCATCGTCGGCGCGGCGCGGGGGACGTCGGCTTCGCTCGAGTCCGCTGAGATTCACTACCGCTCCGTGAGGGGCGCCTTCTTGCTAATGCGAGCAAGGGGGAGAGAGGGGGGGGGGGGTGTGCCGACGTTCGCAAGTGACGGCGTTGTGAGATTTTATTTCGGTGGGGGGGGTGGTGGAGATTGGAAAGAAAAAAAAACGGTAACGCGTCGCTGTCGTGAGTCATTACCTTGCATGGTAACGCTCGGCCTGGCTCAGCCTGGCTCGTGTACGCTCGCTCTGCGACGTTTGACGCCAACCCGGCAAGCTCTCCGGGTTGGCACAGGGGACGAAGACCTCCGCACGACAAAGAAGGTATGCCCAGGGAAGGGCGTTCCACGCGGTGTGGTGGGGGGGGGTGTTGGCCTGGGCGAAAGAACAAAACTGCAACAACTGCAGTGAGCAGTTACCCAATTAACAGCGGTGTCTTTCTTTACAAAAAACAAAGGGAACAAATGAATCTGGGTAAGAGTGTTGACTGTTTAACATTAGCAAGGAAGTCTTGTGCACGACTCTGCATAGGCTTAAGTACTGTTTGCATGTTAAGAAAAGAGCTACACCCATTATTATTAATTATTATATCCTGTATAGCAGTGGCTTATACGAATCATTTATATACTGTAATGCAAATGTAATTGGAAGTGCTCGTGTACTTGCTCTTCCTGAAAGCAGGTCTGCTAACCAAATGTTACTCAACAAACTGTCTCTTATTGGGGGGGGGGGGGGGGGTTTGTTGGTTGTTATAATTAAGTGATATCATTTTCTTGCAACACTGGTGTTCGCAGGGGGTGTGCGCTAACCTACATTTTAGGTTCTGTTTCCAAACGGCTGTCATTTGCCAATGTAGCGATTGGTACTCGAGTCGTCAAAACATAGGGTGTTTGTGTCTGTTGTACATTTTATAAAGTCCTTTTTGTACAAAAACTCAGCGTTAACCAGCTTGGTAACAAATTCTGCAGCCGGTTTTAAGGGCGCGTCTTTTCACAATTTGAGTGAACACTATTCATTGATTCCGCCCCCCCCCCCCTGCCGTACGTTACCGCCCTTTAACCATTTAGCCATATAATCTGTGGCCAAATGGCTTCCGGGTGGCAACCGTTGGACCGTTTTTAACCGGCACGCGATGCGCACCAACGCGCGTGGAACAGCCCAACGTTTTTGTCCCTGCTGCCTGACGCTCCCACGCGTCTGCTCGCCTCCGACTTGCGCAAAGCCTTCTACCGAAATGTACGACGTTTGGCATTGGATAATAGAACATTAAATATTAACTTTATTCTCGGCAGCTGTAACAGTATTCACACTGGAATCGCTTTCTTTTTTTCCTCCCCCTCCCCTCGCTCTCACGGCACCGCCCGAGGGAGGCGATAACTTTCGGCGTCACAGCTTGCTGCGCAGAGAGCGCTCGCGGTCGGTCCTAGCCTCCGACGGCGGCATTTTATCGACGACCCTTCGGATGACATTTTGCTCTTCCGAAACGACAAGGCGGGCCCCGCCGCTCATGCTCCACAGTTCCACACGCAGTCGCGCTTGCGCCGTCCTTATGCATGAGTGTTGTGAGCTTAGCGCGATGACGGGTTGTTGTTGTTGTTGTCGGTGCTTTCTGTAGTCTGGCGGGCCTGTCTTCTGGGTCCGCTGTCAGGGCAAGCACTGAAACACGGCGCGCGCTGCTGTGTCACGGCTGACGCCGTACGGATATTACGTGGCGGTTATCTTGCTGTATCTGCTATTTACTTTATATCCCGCTTCTGCCACAGGAGAATGTAGAAGGAGTTCATTAAATATTTGTTTTCTTCTCATAACTGTATATTTGCATTTTTAAAGAATTGACTCTAAATATATGTTCCCTTTATTCGAGAATCCAGGTAAATTATAATAGATGAATATTCTCTGGTAGAATATGAGATGTACAGATTATGCTTGGAGGGCCTGCCAGGCCACATCCCGTAAGTTTAGCAGCCAAACTCCCGTAATTTTGTCAAATATTTGGTGCTTTTTTTTTTTGCTTTGTACATTGGTTCCAGGATTCCGGCTGCGCGGTTCCATTTTGAACAATGACGGAAAAACGCGTCCGTGGCAAACGCAGCAGCGCCATCGCCGTTCCCCTGCAGACAGGCCGTCGATGCTGCGCTGCGTGCACTGTGACTCGCCAAACCATCAGTGGGCTTTGCACATGCTGTGTTTGTCGACTGCCCTTGGTGACACGAGTTGGACTAGAGAAGAGGGATCTTTGTGTTTTTTCTGGCCATTATAAAGTGCGTATTAACACTTATTTCCCCTACCCCCCCACCCCCACTCGAATGACGTTACCCCTTGCCGATACGCGAAAATGTGATATACAGGGCAACGTTAACTGCGTTCAATCGCAAACGGATTCAGAATTCCCTTACGTAAAAACTGCTCCGCATATCAAATGCTATTATCCAATGTAGCTAACAGCTCACATTTGTTTTTCTTTCTTTGTCGCACCGCTCTAGAGAAAGCATTTTATATCGCGGGAGGTTCACCATGACCCAGATTTCAGCATGGCGGGAGGGGGGGGAGGTGCATGGTTGCATTGTTGAAATCAAATGTCAGCTGTGAATGGGCGGTCCATGTAATGTCGATAATTGGCTTGTACGGCATGGTTCTTGGTGTTGCAATTGGCGGTGATGATCGCGCCAGAACGAGGCGCTCTTTCCTAGATTTCTGGAGAGACGCCTGCAACGCTTTTGATGATGATGAAGAAGAAGGGCATGGGACGCTCTTAACTTTGAAAAACAATTGCGCGGCTCTGCACCTAGTTCAGCCTGAAGAGAGGAGTCTTGATTGTGCCGTGTGTACGATGGAATTGCCCCCCCCCCCTCCCCCTTTGGAAGCAGCCCTGGGTTTATCGCATCTTTGGGAGGTGATACCATTTGTAGTCGTCCAGAGTGGGATATTTTTTTTTTCCGTCGTTCATTCTAGTATTTTTTACCTCTAAATCTCACTGTAGTCGGTTGACGTTTTCATGTCCGTGCGTTTGGTTGCCATGTATAAATAATCATTTTCTAATAAAAAAAATACAACAAGAAGAGGAGGAAAGGTGTTCATCTGCTGTCTTGGCGGCTGTCGGTGAAGGTGCCGGGGCTGTGCCGCTCGCCCCACGGGGTTCGAACCGATGGCACTGGTTGCAAGCCACTCTGCAATACAAAAGGTTCAAAGGAACTTCTGGTTTCCTGCTCAAACTGAGCCTCGAAATGTGCTCGTCTCTTGTCTGCAGCTCTGAGCCAGTGATGGAAATTCCACATTCTTATGGCGGGGTGGGGAGGGTGGTGGAGGGGAGGCAGTCTGTGCAGAGGACAATTATTTTTGACAACTCCACAAAGTCGGAGTTTTTTATCGACCCGAGAGGGATGATTAGCTGAGTCAACACCCCCCCACCTCCCTTGCCCCTACCAGGAATTGAACTAGCAAGTTTCCGATTACAAACTGCTGGCTCTGCAGTTGAGCCTCCTGGGCGGATACAATCATGTGCACACCCCATTGTATCGTCTCGTAACCATTATAACTCATAAGCTACATCCTGCGTTGGTGTATTTGACTTCATCTTTGTTGCAATCTTTTTTGCGATAAATGTTGCAAACTTATTTCATTAACAAAGAGACGGTGCAGCTAAATCCGTTTGTTGTACTGAGCCGGATCCCAACGTGTATGCTGCCCACTTTCATTAACCCGCAGAGACCAGCCTGGTGAAGTATGGCCACATAAACCACCATGACCTGTAGAGGGCATGGGAGGAGGCCCGCATCCATCATGAGATTGACAAAGACGACTGCGTACGCGTACATTACGTGATAATTGCAAACGGTGCTATTGATATTGATTACAAGATTTCGTTTAAATATGTTCTGTGTATGGTACATTTCGATTTAAAGCTTTCGTGACTGCAGGGATTCATCTTCTTGGTTCTTTCGGTAAAGTCACGTAGAATGGAAATAATAAAATAAGAATTTTTTTTTATTTCCATGGAAATAATAAAATAATAATACTTTATTATTATAAAATAATAATACTTTATTATTTCCATTCTACGTTACTTTGCCGAAAGAACCAAGAAGATGTATGGTACATGTGAAGTTGTCAGCGTGTTAACTCCATACGAGTGTCATACGTTTCCAGTGAGTCGTGTTGCAAGAACCTCGGTAAAGTGGCTACAATACTGAGCGAATACTCTAAATGCTCTGTGCGTTGAGAGCTGAATTTATTATTCTTGCCATCACCGGAGGGATCAAGGGGGGGGGGGTGGAGGCGGAGGGTTTCCATTTGCACAGCTGAATTGGTTGGGGGCCGTAAATTGGCCGCAAAGGTCACACTGGTCCATGTGATTATCAGACACAATGTCATCGTCACGTGTCGCTGTTTTACATCAAAATATACAGGTTGTGGTCTGGGTGTCAACATACAAGCAAATAACGAGTGAAACGCTGTTCTGTTTCTCCACACGCAAATACAGATGTGGATTAGTCCATCGGGCTAATCAAACCAATATAATCCATCTGCGTTTGCTTAAGCAAGTAAACTGTGGAATGGTTTCGACATTCTGGGTCTCTCGTCAACAGGCCTGTTAAACAAATGTTGCGGAGGTTACCAGCTGTTGTTGGCAAGAGCGTTCCACCTAAACTATTGGACCCTGTGCGAACGCAAACGGCAACATTGTCAAGACGTCTTCACGTATCTCTTCGCCGAACCGAGTACTGCTTACACAACCATCGTTGTATCATCGTGTGTGTTTATCCAGGAAAGGCTGAACTGAGTCTCCAAGCCACCTTTTCAGGAGGGCCGTGGCAGATTTTTCGCTGCAGTAAATCATGCCGTGCGGTGATCCCAAATCGAGTCATTTGCAAGTACATGTTTCAGCAATATGGGACGTTGTGATCAATGCTAATTACGTTGCCTATTTATGTTCAGCTATGGGCAGCAAACCGGTGAACCCAGGGGAAACCCCACAGCTCTATGCAGAAAGGCTCCCGAGTCGAGAATTTTTCACCCAGAAGCCGCCTTGCTTTGAGTGTTTGCGCTGTGCCATCTTACCTCGCCTGAATGTTCCGCAATAGCGCATCGTGCCCAGTAAATACGGATGAAGTGGTGGTGTAGTGGTTAGGGGCACTGCGCTATTGATTCGGTGACCCGAGTTGCTACACTGCCGTATATTTCACAAATGTAACATACGACAGAGATGTAATATACGGCATGAAAATGCTCAATGGAGCGCACAGATCCACAGTTCAACACTGCACATCTGACAATTCCCGTTGATGAGCGAGGCATAAGATGCGTTTGTGTCCATGCAGCATGACGATAAAAGCGTCTCGTGTTTTTTTTAAATGTTATTTGAAGATTTGTTTTAAAATAGAACATCATTAATGATTTAAATACGTGACAAGCAACGAGATTAAAATTTGCAAGTGCCCCGTGTGTGTGCTCGCGCGGTGATTATTGTATTTGCAGAGTTGAACAATATGCAAAGGATTACAAACAGGCTCGCCTCTGGGTTATAAGCACCATTTGCCTTCGCCGGACATGCAATTAAACCGTGCCTTTTGTGTGTGTTTTGGGGACATATTGGTCTATTGTCCAGCTGTAGAATAATAAGAAAAGAGGCGCTATTCTCAATGCGTAAGCTTATTGTTTCTTCTGCGCCGTGTTGAGAGCCATCGAGCCGTAGCGCCTGTGTGTCACGCGAAGATAAGTGTGTTTATGAGTGGCCGCAGCTGTGCCACTCTGGGACTCATTTCAGGTCATTGCGCTGTCCCGACCACAGGTGAGACAAGTGTGGCGAGCAGTGGTGACATTTTAAGAATTTCAAAAATATATACATATTTCTTCTAGCGGCTGTAAATGAAACGTCGCACGCACTGGAGCCGTGTGAGTTTATTTATCCGAAGAACTATTTCACCTGATTGCTCGTTGTAGCTTTTTTTTGTTAGCCGGGAGCCCCAGTTATGGTCACGTGTCCTGAAGCCACAAACTGCTCTGTTGTTCCTTTCTCGGTCATGGAAATGCGCCCACCCATACCACCTCCATCCAATGATAAAATAATCATTTACACTTGTAAAGCACATCTAATCCGCAGATCCCACCAATGCGCCACCGTGTATGGAAAGCAGAGAATTAACGGAACCTGCAGGGTAAACGGGCAGAACTATCAGGTTTAAAGAGGTGAGTGATCAAGACGAACTTAACCATATCTAACGACTCTGATTGTCCTGTTCGCAGAGGCAAAGCCTCGTTCCAAAGCTTGGAGGCTGCACTGGCAAAAGACCGATCATCCTAGCAACAGAGCCTGTACCGTGCAGTACTTCGAAGAACGACACATTTGTATTTATATTTACGCGATCTAACCCAACAAAAAAACCTGTATGATACTTCAGGCGATTCGAAGATCTCAGGGACCTCGTTGGAGAGTGAACGTGGGCCTGTGTTCCCTGTACATACTGCAGGGGACGGAACCCATTGAGTGGTTGCGCCCGAGTGCGTTCCTTAAAATCTGACTCTCTCGTCCCACCATCCCATGTCGTCCCCCACCCCTCCTCCCGTTCTGTTGTTGGTCTTGCCAACCTCTCGTCTGACATCCTCGCTCGATGTTTCTGCACATCGCCATTTCCGTACGTGTCACTCTGTAAAGTCACATCTCTTGTCTCGAGACTTCTAAAGATTGTCGATTATCATTTGTTCCACCTCGCTGCGTGAAAAAAAAAAACACTTTTAATACTGCTCCATGGAATACCGACTCGCTTTTACTCTATAGTTAGCAACCATGTTTGTGCCAAGTAGGTCCTTAATTGGACAATACATTGCATGTACTCTTGGGATGCTCCTTTGGTGCAGTGATGGTAGCCACAAATGGACTTGCAATGCGGACGTCATCGCAGTTAGTCAACGGCAGGCCACGTTCGGTGTGGTCAAATTTAGGTACTCCCACCTCTTACAGCGTGGAAGAGTAGGCCAAATACCCTCTACACAGGGGCTCTCTCTCTAGAGCTCCCCTCTAAGCCAGTGTTCATTAATTTTCAGAAGTCGGGGCCACTTTCGCCGACGAGACATCATCAGTGAGAGGGATGCCACACATTTGAAACCATTGGAGTCAGTCAGCACGATGAGGATGGGGGGTGTTTTCACTTTTGTGCATAGGCAAAGTTTTACTTCTATATTGGAAGGTGGGGCAGGAGTTCGCTTTGTCCCTCACATAATGAATTGCGGGTGCACGTAATTTATTTTACATTTTAATCGTAAATGACTGAAAATAAATTAACAAAGGTGTCCAGTTTGGTGGTGGAGGGAGGGGGGGGCAACACTCCGCTCATGCATTTGTGTATAGTCAGGGGGGGCGCGTTCAAGGCCACCAGGGGCCCCCCAGTGGACCCCCCGTGAGCCTTGCGATGAAGAACTCCGCTCTCGGCAGAGGGGGGCCCTGTCCCACCAGCGGTGGCTTTCGGCGAACTAATTTCAGGGGGTATTAATTCTAGATTTGAAGCTTTCGTGACTGCAAGGATTCATATTCTTAGGTTTTTTCGGTAAAGTCACGTAAGTAAAAAAATTAAAATTAATAAAAGTAAAATAAAATAAATTAAAAATCACAACGTTTCGGAGGCAACCTGAAGACGGAAGCTTGTGTTGCCTCCGAAACGCGATTTATTTATTTATTTTACTTTTATTAATTTAATTTTTTTTACCTACGTGACTTTACCGAAAAAAAATCTAAGAATATAATTTCAGGGGACTGCAATATCGCGTCGAAAAGAAAATTGCGAACGATTGCCCGCCGGGTTTCGTAGCAATCGACGGTGTCTTTATTCGAGAATATGGTATTAAAAAATAACTGAGCAGCTTGTTCGGAGGGGGCCGCGTGGGGCCGTTTGGGTCGCCGTGGCGGACGAGCTGGTCAAACAAAACAAACAAAAAGCGACTTCACAACACTCCAGCGACGACGACGTTCAACGACGCGACCCGAAAGAAAGAACCCCCCTCCTCCGCCGTCATTGACAGAATACGTGACGGACGGCACGGTGTCAACAACAAAAAACAACGACTCCACGACGATTCGAGACGGTGGGGGGAGGGAGGTAATGATATAACGCAAATTAACGGTGGGCTTTGTGAGCTTCTTGCTGGGCTTTGCGAGTCGCTTGCTCCTGCTGTTTTCACACTTAGAACGACTAAATATATATGAATAACTTCGTGCCTCTAAAGATGTAAGCCACAACCAAAGTGTCTTTTTGAAAAAAATACAGAAATAAGGGTTGGAGGGAGCGGGGGGTTTGGGGAAATTCGTTTTTGGCAGTGAGATTTCAAGTTTAACCTCTCTTCTAAGTAACCTTGGCATTTTTTTTGCATGAATGTCGAATGATCGACATGCATCTTGAGCACTTGGGAAACCTCAACGAGTGGAAACACCTCCCATCTGGCAAGGCAGCCGATCGCATTCTGTGTTGTGCATTCCTACCATGGCCAGCCACTTTACTTTATATCCCCTGTGCACCATCGGAGACAGTAAAATAATGCACGTGCTGTTTGCGAACAGCGCGTTTCTGAAATATTGCCTGCTGCTGCTGCTGCTCCTCCTGCTGCTGCTCCTCCTGCTGCTCCTGCTGCTCCTGCTGCTGCTCCTCCTGCTCCTGCTGCTGCTGCTGCTGCTACTACTGCTGCTGCTCCTGCTGCTGCTGCTACTGCTGCTGCTGCTCCTGCTGCTGCTGCTACTGCTGCTGCTGCTCCTGCTGCTGCTGCTCCTGCTGCTGCTGCTCCTGCTGCTGCTGCTCCTGCTGCTGCTGCTACTGCTGCTGCTCCTGCTGCTGTTGCTACTGCTGCTGCTGCTCCTGCTGCTACTCCTGCTGCTGCTCCTCCTGCTCCTGCTGCTGCTGCTACTGCTGTTGCTCCTGCTGCTGCTGCTCCTGCTGCTGCTGCTCCTGCTGCTCCTGCTGCTGCTGCTCCTGCTGCTGCTGCTCCTGCTGCTGCTCCTGCTGCTGCTGCTCCTGCTGCTGCTCCTCCTGCTCCTGCTGCTGCTGCTACTGCTGCTGCTCCTGCTGCTGCTGCTCCTGCTGCTGCTGCTCCTGCTGCTGCTGCTCCTCCTGCTCCTGCTGCTGCTGCTACTGCTGTTGCTCCTGCTGCTGCTACTACTGCTGCTGCTCCTGCTGCTGCTGCTCCTGCTGCTGCTCAGGCCCGTCCCGTGTTAACACTTCATATGGTAGCCGTGAGACGTTTCCCTGTGTCTGCCGGCTTGATTGGCAGTGTTTGCTTGGCAGTGTTGAGCTCTGCGCACGATGGTGCGCTAAGAAGTTAGCGCCAGCATTGTGTGCACGTGCGTGCGGGGGAGCGTGTGTGAGTGAGTGTGTGTGAGTGTGTGCGTGTGAGTATGTGAGTGAGTGTGTGTGTGCGTGTGTGTGTGAGTGAGTGTGTGTGTGCGTGTGTGTGAGCGCGCGTGTGTGTATGTGAGTGTGTGTGTGCGTGCGTGTGTGCGCGTGTGAGTGTGTGTGTGATTGTGTCTGTGTGTGATTGTGTCTGTGAGCGTGTGTGTGAGTGTGTGTGAGTGTGTGAAGCGGTTAGCGCGCACCGCTACGAACCTGGCGAACCCGGGTTCGATTCCCGTTCACGGCCAACACCGGTGACGATTATCTGAACCGGTCCCGGGCCTCCCCTAGATCGACTCAGCCTCAAATGAGTACCTGGTGCGATGTGTAAACATCGTCGCTAGGGAGACAAAGGCGGCCGGGCGTGGTGTTGGCCACCCACCCCCTCGTGTGCCGTGCCGGCCTTTATAGGTGCTCGCTAACAGCACTTGCCCCTACAGAGGCTATACGGGGGATATTTGTCTTTGTATCGTTGTGTGTGCGGGAGGCGGCCGGTAGTGTCGAGGTTACGAACCCGGCGACCCGAGTTCGATTCCCGCTCGCGGCCAACCACCAGTGACCGGGTTCCTTAGGTCGACTCGGCCTCAAACGAGTTCCTGGTGCGGTGTGTAAACATCGCCACTGGGGAGACAAAGGCGGTCGGGCGGTGGTGCTGGCCACCCACCCACCCCCTCGTGTGCCGTGCCCGCCGGCATCGGTGCTCGCCAACAGCTCACGCGAGTTTCTTTGTCTTTGATGGATACCGGAGGAGGAGAGAGGTCGAAATTGCAGGCAGGATACAATTCGGACCCACCACCACCTCCCCCCACCCCCGACTCTCCGAGTTCACCTCCCAAACCTCCCGCCCTGAGTTCACGGGGCCTGCTTTTACTTCGTCTGGAGCTTGGCGGCAGAGGCGGCCGTGGCATCGGGCTTCCGTCCCGATTTGCCGATCTGACGGATGCTCTTGGTGATGGTGATGGTCACCTGCTTGGTGGACATGCGGTTCGCCTGCCATTTGGTCTGCCGGCGAGAGGAGGACGCAAATTACCATCACAAACGGGACATCCCCTTTGTTTTTTGCCAGTATGAAAGTATGAAAAATAAGAACGCCTTTTACTTTGGCTGGCAATAAAACAGGAGGTGTTGTGCAGTGCCGGATTGAGCTCGTGCGGGACCTGTGGCAATGTGTGAGCGGATGACGTCCCTCCACATGGAGCTCCACCCCCTCATCAATAATTATCATGGAGTAAAGACGTCACTCACGTGGACCCCTGCCCCCACCCCCTCATTTAATAATCATGAGCGGGTCATGATTTTCGATTGAATATTTCAGATTAACTGCAATCGACCCGTCCTTGGATGGGTCGATAGGCGAGTGCAAGGCCGTAATTATAATATATTGCTATACAATAGATTTCTGTTTATATGATTGTGGTTATGGTTGTACTTTATTAATCCCTAATCTCTGCCATTACATACAATGAAACAAGAAAAGGTTAAAAAAGAAAAAAACAGCAATGTAATACAATACACTATTAGACATTGTTGTAAAAATTACATTAAAAGTCCATCCTATGTGTTAGTGAATTATTTAATATTTTAGGCAGGAAATGGCAGGAAATTAGTTTTTAAATGTAGATTTTTTTTCTGGGGGGGGACCCCCAGACCCCCAGACCCCTGGAAGATTTGGTCCCTCCCAATGTTGACTCCATGGCTACTGCCTTGGGCGAGTGTGTTATAAAGGGGCCCCAAATAAAAAATATGAAAACACAATTTTTTACTTGCATAGTAAAGTAATTGTATTTTATCTTTTGCTATACGGCCAGATGATATGACAAATCGCTAACCTTAAACACCCAGTCGTTCATAAAAGTTGCAGGCCAGTATAGTGCTATAGTAATAATCACTGAACCGGAATTGGTAGCTTGAAAGCATTTCGCGCGGGGCCCTTGAAAGTGCGGGGCCCGTAGCTACTACATATGTAGTAGCTACTACACGTGTAGGAGCCACAGTAGCTACTACAATCCGGCACCGGGTGCTAAGGTGTTCAGACACCAAAATAGATACCTTTTTTCAAGGACTCAAGACTGCACTAACCACACACATGCTCATGGCAAACGCGCTAACAAATACATATTTTATATTATAAAAGCAGTAAATAGTTTTTTTTTTCAACAGAACAATGGACATTGCCCCAGGGCAACTCGTTTTTCACGCGATGCAGCCAAGATCCCCGCCAACGCTCTAAAGGGATGGGAATGCAAAGAGATAAACAGAGCCGAGAGCTGTTGCCCGACACCGTATTCGGGCACGATCACATCTCGCAGATGTTGTTTCCTGCTGTAAAACGGCCCCAGACCCGCTCGTATCTACACGAAGACGACCACGCGAGCGAGTGAGCTGTGGTTCGCAAAGTTGAGCCGTGGGCATGGTCCACACACAAAATAAACAGGTGGGACTGCGTGCGCAAGGCGCTCTGACATTCTGGGGGAATTTCAGCGCCCAGCAAATCCCCGACCCTTGCCTCGCCCAGCTTGGTATGCTGGATGACAGCTCCGGTATTTGGGTTTACGGTATTCGCTAACGTTCGCCCGAACACTTTTTTGTTCGTGCATTTCGTTACACCTCATCGCGGTTCATAAATTATTGCAGCTTTGGCGGTGAATATCACGGCGGTAAATTGTTGCCGTGGTCAATTGTCGCGGTGGCGAATGGTCACGGCGTTGAATTATTGCAGTGGTGAATTATTGCGGTGGTGAATTGTCAAGGTGGTGAATGATCGCGGCGGTGAATTATCGCGGCGGTGAATTATCGCGGCGGTGAATTGTCAAGGTGGTGAATGATCACAATGATGAATGATCACGACGGTGAGTTATCGTGGTGGTGAATTGTCGCGGCGGTGAATTATGAAGGCGGTGAATGATCAAGGCGGTGAACGATCACGGCGGCGAATTCCCACCTCCTCGGTGCGGATGACGCTCTTCTTCTCGAGCGTGGTGATCTCGGCGCCCGTGCTGGCGTGGTGCGCGTGCGTCCTCGTGGCCGGGAAGAGCTCCACGGAGAGCGAGGAGCGCTCGGGAGAGCCGCCCACCGCCACCGCCTCCGCCTCCGCCGCAGCCACCACCGCCACCTCGCCGGTAGTGGCGGCGGCGCCGATGGGGGGCTCAGAGGGGCGTCTCGACCCTTCGCCCGTGGCCGACGAAGGGACCTCGGGGGGGGAGGCGTCGGCGTCCTCCAGCGCGGAGTCCCTCGGCCCGGCGGCCTCGTGCAGATGCTCCGATTGGCTCATCGTGACGTACGCCTGCGCCGGGTACGCCAGGCCGTCGTCAAAGATCCCTGCGGGTCGAGTGACGGGAGAGAGAGGGGCGCGGGCACGGCGCGTCAGTGTCGTGCGGGGCTGCGCGCTGACGGATCCCGCTCCTTGAGACCCCCCCCTCTCATTCCTTTCCAGCCCTCCAGATTTCTGTCGCCCCCCCCCCGCCCAGCTACGCACAAGCCTATCTCAACCCCTCCTTATCAATCCCTCTTGTTTTACCGCATCAAAACTACACCACCGCTTAGAATGACCCCGTTTGCAATGACCCCGTTTCTTCATTTCAAACGATTATCATGCTACGTACCATTTTTTTAATATATATAATTGCTGTAAAGCGCCTTTGGTGAAGGTAAAAGCGCTATATAAATGACAAACACGATAAGACAGTTCTTTTATTGGAACCCTGAGCGCGCACGGCACCCTACAGCGGTGAGCTTCACCCTCGGACGGAACCGAAATGAGCGGCGAGTGATCGTGTGGCAGCAGGAACGTCCTGCCCCGCCCGGCGGCACATGCGGAGCGACCTGCCTCGACAGCGCGCAAAAGTGTTCGACACGTCGCCGAGTTCCGAAGCCAAAGATGGAAATTCCACATTCCCGTGACGGGTTGTTGGGGCGGGAGGGGGAGCGAAGGTTAGAGGTTCACACGCAGCAGCAGCAGCAACAACAACAACGCCCTCCTAATGCGACGTCATCCAGAATAGAATTGATTCTACGATTGGCACCCTAACAGGAATATGCTACACGGAGCCCAATAGGTAGAGTTGATCGGCACAGTTGTTCTAAGCATGTAACTATCGCTCATGTTTCTAATCATTCACATCCCTTTGTCAATCCACAGCTGGATGAAGCCCACTCCCTCCCCGCAGTGTCAGTCATGGGGTTGGTGACCATACTTCACCACGGCGGACAGCAATACAGGATGGTGAACGGGAAGGATGGGCGGTATAGATATCACTTCACCACTGATGTTATCCATTGCCTGGAATCGAAGTCGTGTTGCTGCTGAGTTTGAAAGCGCAGTGCACAAACCGCTGCGCTGCCTCAACCCCCCCCCCCCCCATGTGTGTGTGTGTGTGTGCGTAATGTCAAAGCCATCAGAGTCCATAACGCTGAGATCATTTGACATGTTTTACTATCAAAAATTGGTTCACGTTATGTCCTGATGCCATCAAGGAGTTCTTATTACTTCTGCTTCTACGGATGACTTGTTACAAACACAATTTGCGCACACCCACGTACAAATACAAAGATCCCCCGTATACAGACTATTGGGGCAAGTAATGTTAGCGAGCACCTATGAAAACTGGCATAGCACACGAGGGGATGGTGGGGGCAGCACCATGCCCCGGCCGCATTTATCTCCCCAGTGCTGATGTTTACACACCGAACCTGGTGCTCCTTTTAGGGCTGAGTTGACCTAGGGGAGGCCCAGGAGCGGGTTCAGATTATCGTCGCTGGTGTTAGCCATGAGCGGGAATCAAACTCGGAATGCCGGGTTAGGACGCAGCGCAAGCACCCTAGCCGCTACACGACCGCTCCCCACAATACATAGAGACAAGACAAAGATCCTCCGTGCAGCCTTAACAGACTGTTGGGGCAAGTGCTGTCAGCGAGGGCCTATGAAGGCCGGCGCGGCACACGAGGGGTTGGGTGGCCAGCACCACGCCGGGTCGCCTCTGTCTCTGCAGTGGCGATGTTTACACACCGCACCAGGTACTCATTTTAGGCCGAGTCAGGCTAGAGGTAGCTCAGGACCGATTCAGAAATCGTCAGTGGTGTTGGCCATGAGCGGGATTCGAACTCGGGTCGCCGGGTCGGTGGTAGCGCAGCGCCCTACCCACAAACCAATACCAGTGCCTGACCATTCGCCACTTAGTGACGGTGACGTCACCACGGCGCCTGTGCCAGGCTAGGTGCACTTTTGGGCCACGTGAAGTGTCGAAGGCTCGCTGACAGGAAGAGGTCTCGGGATAGCCCCAGCAGTTGCCATGGGTTGGCTGACTGAGATGACTGGTAGATGCACCACCAGCTGTACCCCCTACAGTGCCAAATTGCTATATTTTAGCCTCTCATTGTAAGCGTCGCTCCTCTGCCCTCCGTTGTTGCTGGAGGGCGACTGACACACATTGACAAACGCACGCACAACGTGAGCTTGCAGGCTTATGTAATTTCATCTGTGGTCTGCTCATGTCCATCGTGCGTCAATTGTGCGCAAGCTCGCCTCCGCCTTTGGTTTTTTTCTGAGTAAATTTTGTGAGTCTGTCATTGTCTGATTTCAGTATATCGTATGTATTGTAACACGGTGTTTGTGTGTGTGTGTGTAAATTATGGTCCTTATGTAACCATGGGCCACGAGAGCTCTCTTGATATTAAAATAATACATCCCCAATGGGACTTCTCCCATTGCAACACATCAGCCAGCCAACTATCCAAGTGAGCTTCCGGGCAGCCTGCCAGGCAATTAAGCCACTCTGCAAGCCGTCCTTAGAGTCAGCTGTCCAGCCAGTCAGTCAGACAGCAAGTCACGTAGCTGCCCAGTCAGTGAGGTAGCCAATTATCCAGCCGGCCATTCAGCTAAACAGTCAGTCTGTCAGTGTGCAAGCCTGTCAGTCATCCAGCCAGCCAGTCACCCGTCCAGGTCGTTAGCCAGGAAACTGGCTTGTCCACCAGCCAACTTGCTAGCCAGCACATCCATCAGCCAGCTAATCACCAAGTCAACCAACCACCTAGTCCGTAAACCAACCATCCAATGTCCGGCATTTTATCCGGCCTGTGAGTCAGCGAGCCGGAAATCCAGTGCAGTTAACCAGCTAACCAACCAATCAGTCGGGCAGTCATTGGTTTATCCAGTCAGCTAGCCACCTAAATATCCACTCATCCAATCATTCATTCAGCCAGTCAGCCACTCAGCCAATCAGCCGGCCACCCAATCAATCAATGGACCATGCACGAGGATGACAGTGATGATGACCGTGCGGTGATGCGGCTCGGGCTCTGGCTCACCCACCGGCGCTCATGAGGCTCAGGGAGCCGCCGTCGCCGCTGTCGGCGCAGGACGCCGCGTCGAGGCTGCCCGGTGCGGCGGGGATGGCGGAGAGAGGCACCTCGGACTCGGTGCCCGTGAGCCACGTGCTCTCCGTCTCCTTGGTCCAACTCTCGTGGTAGCGCGGCTCGATCGCGTCGGCTTTGCTCCCTCCGCATCCCATCGTGGACGAGCCTCGCCTCCCCCCCCTCCACTTCCCCAGTGCGGCCAAGTGTCTGCTGCAGCGGGCGCGTAAACACGCGCGTGTGTGTGTTGTTGTTGTTACACGCGCGTGTGTGTGTGCTGTTGTTGTTGTTACACACTTGTGTGTGTGCTGTTGTTGTTACACGCGTTGTTGTTACACACGCGTGTGTGTGCTGCTGTTGTTGTTGTTACACACACGTGTGTGTGTGTGCTGCTGTTGTTACACACGTGTGTGTGTGTATGTGTGTGCTGTTGTTGTTATACGCACGTGTGTGTGCTGCTGTTGTTACACGTGTGTGTGTGCTGTTGTTGTTACACACGTGTGTGTGTGTGTGTGCTGCTGTTGTTGTTGTTACACGTGTGTGTGTGTGCTGCTGTTGTTGTTACACACGTGTGTGTGTGTGTGCTGTTGTTGTTACACACGTGTACTGTGTTGTTATACACGTGTACTGTGTTGTTACACACGTGTAGCTGTGTTGTGAGCGTGGGCTGTGTATATGGTGTTGCTGATTTGATGCGTGCGCGTGGATTTACGATTGTATACGATGCTCACTGCGTGTGTGTATAGAGGTCGGCACAGCCTTAAATGAGCACCTGGCATGGTGTGTTAGCATCAGCATTGGGGAGACAAAGGTGACCGGGTGTGGTATTGGCCAACGCCACGTTCTTCGTGTACCGTATTGGCCTTCATAGGTGCTCGCTAACAGCGCCTAGCTCAGCAGTCTGTTCGAGGCTATATGGGTGATCTTCGTGTGGATGTGTGGTGCAGTTTGTCTGTACCGTATGGATCGCTGAATGTATTTACACTGCATGGTGCTCACTGTGTGTGTGTGTGCATGGTGTTTACTGTGTGCATGGTGTTGCGTGTACGCTTGGTATGACACAGCATGATGCTTACTGTGCGTGTGTGCATGGTGCTGCGTGTACGCTTGGTATGACACTGCATTGTGATTACTGTGTGTGTGTGCATGGTGTTGCGTGTACGCTTGGTATGACACTGCATTGTGCTTACTGTGAGTGTGTGCATGGTGCTGCGTGTACGCTTGGTATGACACTGCATTGTGCTCACTGTGTGTGTGTGCATGGTGCTGCGTGTACGCTTGGTATGACACTGCATTGTGATTACTGTGTGTGCATGGTGCTGTGGGTGTATGCATAGGGGTGTATTATGTACGGTGATGTGTGCACGTGTGTGTGTGTGTTTAGCTATGAGCATCTATGTTTACTGTTTGGTGCTGTGTCCGGGATGTACGTACTGTAGCTATACAGTATATAAATGTATACTGTATGGCGCTGGCTTGTGTGGGAAGAGGCTCCGAGATGAATCCCGGTCGACGCGCCTGCGGCAGAACTGCGATCCCTCCTCACCGCTCCATCTCCACGCTAACAGCTCCACGGATCCACCGCCCGTCCAGTCACGAGCAGGTTCTGGGACTCGAGCGCCCCCGCGGGAACCCCTTTAGTACCCTCTAGGTACCCCCCCCCTATACTGGACCCTTCTCTGTACGAGCGAGGCCCTTGACATTCAATCAGAGTCTCGTCCCTTGCGCCGCTGTAATGGTCGTGGGCTGAATCGGCGGCGCCGCGGATTCTCGCTGCCGGTGCGGAAGCCGCTGTCCTTGGTACCGATGCCTCTCGCCGACTGTCGCCTCCCCTCGTTGGTCGTGCAGATTCTTAATGGTGGAGCGTCGACCGTTCGCCCCTCTCTCTCTCTCTGTCTCTCACTCGGAGCTTTTCCTTGGCTCCACGCTGTCTTGATTCCCACCGCAGCACTACTCCCACCTCCTTACCTACCCCCACCCACTCTGCCCCACCACCCCCACAAAAAAACAGCCCCCCACCACTCACTCCAGCCCCACCCCCGCTAAACACCACCCACCCCCCCTCCCTCCCGTGACGATCTGGGTACCTGTTGACCCACACGCGGCTCCTCAGTGACGCACGCCGCGATGGACAATCGCGTGCCGAGGTTCCGTGGCCGGCGTGCGCGCTTTGATGTTATCCTTCCAGGGTAACGAGGAACATTGTGGCTGTGGAGAGGCGGGGCTGTGGGGGCCTGTGTGGGGAAGTGGGGGAGGGGGCTGGGAGTCGGGGGGGGCGGATAGGAGGGGGGGGGCACTGCCCAGAGACGCGACGTCGATTCACTGCCTCCGCGATCCACGTCTCGGCCGTGCGGCTTCCTCCTTCCTGATTCTCTGCGCCCACGTCGACAGACGTGGACTGCACAGAGAGAGACTCCCTCTTTCTCCCTCTCCCACCCACCCTCTCTCTCTCTCTCTCTCCCACCCAAGTCTCCCACCCCCTCTCTCTCCCTCTCCCACCCACCCTTTCTCTCTCTCTCCCACTCTTTTTTTAATTTTATTTTTACGATCAGTGGAAACAAGAAGATGCTCGGTGTATTCGGCACTTTGCTTCGTTCATCATTTCGTATTTTTTTTAAAACTTAGCTTTATGTAAAACCCCCACCTCTCGCTCACTCTCTCGGCCACTTTCTCGCTCACTCTCTCGCTCACTCTCTCGATCACTCTCTCGCTCACTCTCTCGCTCACTCTCTCGATCACTCTCTAGCTCTCTCTCTCCCACTCTCACTCTCCCACACTGCCTGCATATTTGCCTTTCCTCTCTCCCTTCCAACCCTCTCTGCTCCCTCCCCCCATCTCTCTCCCTCCCTGCTGAAATGCATCGTCATATATTTTGTTATATGTTTACATACGAGTAGAGTAGTCGCTCTGTGTTCGTTTCATGTTTCTTTAACGTCATTGCACTTAGATTTTTATATTCTTGAGTCTTTCGGTAAAGTCACGTAGATAGGTTCAAAGAAATTAACCAAAAATAACAATTGTACTCGACATCGTATGGTGATAATACGTTGCCAGTGGTGCTCAAGTACCAGTGACAACATAGAAGTCAACACATTGGCCTTTAAATCAAATATAAATATAATGTGCGACGTATCGGACAATGACGTGGTAGGATGAAGGCCTATTGCCCGAAATGTGATCTATTTTATATAAAACATATATTTTAAAAATGTATCAATGTGTTATACCACAGTGTTATTGACGAATGCGTTGAGTCATTTAGCAATTGTATTATGGATCAATCTAAAAATAAATCATCTGGAAGAGCCTACATAAACTGCATGGAATTTATTATTTAACAATGATTCACGTTCGTGCAATTTGTTGCGATTTCTCATGGACACAGCAGTTGTGTTTTAAAATCCTTTATATTAAGTTCGCTTGCTTGCTTGCATGCGTGCTTGCGTGCTTGCGTGCTTGCTTGCTTACGACCGTGCAAATCTTTCGGTCGTTTTTTAACCCACTTCCCGTGATCCAATCGAGCTGACATTTTGCACACAGACTCGTTGTGCGAGACAATTAATGTTCGTGAAATTTTTTTGTTCCAAAATTTTACACTGTTTAGGGAAAATAAATTAAATATTGAATTACCAATTGCTTAATACTGGCAGACAATCATCTGACCCATAGGTGGCAGCCATCTCAAGCCAGAGGACGAGAGGACTCTAGCCGCCACGCTTATAAAGGATTTATAGTGAAAAACTTTGTTTTTACGGGTTATACTTATTATCTCTGATCCCCGCTCGCTTCGTTGCTGTGATTTCACGTGTTACTTCATTTATTTCTACTGTCGTCCTCATGGTGACCCAGCAGTCCACCCTTGCAAATGCGCCCTCGCCCTGTTCTCTCTCTCTTTTCTTACGATCAGTGGAAGCAAGAAGATGCTCGGTGTAGTCGGCACTCTGCTTCGTTCATCATTTCGTAATAACATTTTTTTATAACTTTGCTTTATGTAAAACCCCCACCTCTCGCTCACTCTCTCGGTCACTCTCTCGCTCACTCTCTCGGTCACTCTCTCGCTCTCTCTCTCGCTCTCTCTCTCGTTCTGCACGCAGCCCTTCTCGCAGTCCAACGGCCTCCGACGAGTAGCTCATAATTGCATGCAGAGCTCCCCGTCATCTACCACCGAGCACACGACCTCCTCCATCGCCCACTGCTCCTTGAAGGCCGGCACGGCGTGGGTCAGCCGCGCATGGCGGAACTCCAGCCACACACTGGCTCCGACCAGAGCGCTGAAGATGCTCTCGACTTCTCCCGCGGTCTGAACCAATTGACCTGGAAACCCCTTCGCTCTCCCTCCGTCCCTCCTCTCCACCCTCCCCTCCCTGCCTTTGTCTGCTTCCCTTCGTATCTCGCTCTCTCCTCCCTCCCTGCCTCTCATCACCTTCGCTCCCATTCTGCCCGTCTCCCTACATCACGATGGTCCATCCACCCTGCCGTCATGATTCCCCATCACCCCTATCGCCCTGCTTCCCTCGCTACTTCCCGCACATGCTGCTGCCTTCTTCACTCGAGTATTCCCTTCCTCGCCTTCAACTCTCCCCCCCACCCCCTACAATACTCCGTCTACCTCCATTCCTTTAATATCACGCTTCCTACCTACCTACCTACCTTCATTATTCATTAGCATCGCATCCCCCCCTCCCCCTCTACCTGCCCTGCCACGATCATTCCGCCAGTGGCGCCCTTGCGTTCATCCCCAGCGTACGCCTTTGCTGTTGGGTCTTTAATCAAACTCAGGACGCCTCCACCGCCCGCTACCCCCCCCCTCCCCTGTGAGGGGTGGACGCGGGGTCAATTAATTTAGGCACGAGGGGGGAGAACGTTTCGAGGCGCCAAGGTCCGCCTCGTGTCACCGCAGCTGCGTGGATAATGAAACAAGGCGACCGCATTCAATTCGCGTTCACCTCCACTCATCAAACAGGGAATTAGAGGGCGGGGGGGGGGCGGTGGGGGTGCTTTGCCTCTGCCCATCAGCAAGGCGCAGCCCTGCAATTGCTTGCTCACGTCTCTGCTGTCGGAAGGGGCCTCCTGTTAGAGGCTCGAAGGACGCTCGGGGTTTGTTGTTGTTGTTGTTATTGTTGTTGTCTTCCACGCTGGCCGGGTGTGTTGGGAGAGGTGGGGCGGGGGGTACCCACACTTTACCCCACCACACGCGGCCTGCCGATCATAGACTGACCGTGATGTGCCCATTTATACTGCTGGGAAGGTTGGGGGGAGCGGGCGGGTGGGCATTGAAGGGACTTTGCCAAACCGCGTCAATTCTTGATCGTAATATTCTAACCTTTCTTGTCAACGCCATCTAATAACAACAACAACAATATATTGATTTCGAGGACGCTCAGTAAAGTAAGACGCACCCAACACTGGTGCTCGCCGTCAATAACTCTAAACACATCTCACACACACACAGACAAAAACTAAGATCCCCCGTCTAGCCTTGACAGACTTTAGGGGCAAGTGCTGTTAGCGAGAACCTACGAAGGCCGTTTCACACACTCCGGATTGTAATACTCAGCCCCACCCCAAGTGTGGCTATCACACACAGGGTGGTGGTTACAGGTAGGGGGAGTGGGCAGTGCGTCGTATAATCCACACAACGCGGTGGTTCTTGCAACACACGATGCAGCAAGCATAGAATCACGAGTTTGAAAAAAAAATCGATGTTTTATTTTTAGATGTCTGCAAATCATATGCAAATGGAATGCTAATGTCACGTTTTCGTCGAAGCGATGAGCGAGCGAGGCAGCGACGCGGATTTGATGAGGACCGCGAAAATGCGCCTTAATTGTCACACTTTACTGCCGTAATTATTTCCGTTGCCGTGGCAACAGCAGAAGGTTGTGCAAGAGCTGTGTGTGTGTTATATGTCAAAGATATCGTGTGCGTGGATGTGTGTGTGTGTATGTGTGTGAAATATTGAGTGGGGGCCGAGCGGTGGCACAGTGGTTAGCGCACTGCGCTGTGATTCAATGCCGACAGAGTTCGATTCCCGCTCACAGCCGGTAACAATCTGTGACCGTTATCTGAACAGGTCCTGGGTCTCCCTTAAGTCGACTCAGCCTTAAGTGAGTACCTGCTGCGGTGTGTAATACAGCAGCACTGTGGAGACAAAGGCGGCCGGGAGCCTGGTGATGCCCCCCCTCACCTCATGCGCCGTGCCATTCTTAACGAGAATCAGAATATATATTTGTACTTTAAGAATCCGATGAGCTATGAAGCTCTTTCGCACAGATGTCCAGTTGATGCTCGCTAACAGCGCTTACCCCAACCGTCTCTTGAATGCGATGCGGGGTTAGCGGCGTCTTGTACACGGCGTGTGTACGTGCAACACTGATTGATCTCAAGAGGGAACATTCGCAAATGCGATCGTATCGAGTGTGAAGAAGAACCACTCCGTGAGGGCTCTAGGCAGAACCCAATCGTGGCTATGGACGAGAAGATGGTTTGGAAGGGAAAAAAAAACCTGAAACCTCCGAGCCAAGTAACGTCCTTCGCGGAGACGGAGCAATGAAATGAGCTCGGTGGAAGTGTTGATTTCATCACGAGAGTCGGCGGCGGATTTGGGGAGGCCTTCAACGAGCAGTGGAGAGATGTTTGATGGCTTCGCTTCGGTGGGCTCGGTCGGGGCCTGTCACCGTGCTGGGGAAATTCGAGTTACCTGCAGATTGTTGAGCGTTGGGCAGAGGTCGCAAACGGGTTTTGATTCCTTACCCGTACCCGTACCCAGCCGCACCAGGGTACGGGTACGGCTACTCACCAGTGACTCACGGTCTACCCGTACCCGGCCGCACCAGGGTCGCAGACGGCTACCCGTACCCGTACCCGGCCGGGTACGGGTATTGGGTAGCCGGGTATCGGGTAGGGTACGGGTATCGGGTACCCGGTTGCGACCTCTGGCGTTGGGGTGCGTTCGCTGATCTCAGCTACTCGCATGTGCACGCGCCTTCTTGTCGTTATTAGGTACGGGCCGGTAAGCCCGGAGGAAATCCACGCAGACGAGAGGGGGGGGGGGACATACAACGATGCCCCAGTCGAGGATTGAACCAAGGATCATGTTTGTCGTGAGGCACAAGTGTGACTGGAGTGACAATGTGAGGGGACTAGTGGCCACGGGAGGTAGTGACAGGGGTGTCAACTGTGAGTTTGAAGCGACTGGTGGCTACGGGAATGATCGAGAAGGGGGCGTCGTCAGGTGAAATTTAAACAA